GTGAAAATCGGACAAACCGTCTAGGACGAGTTCGCAAAAGTAGGTTTTTTTGGAAAATTCAAAATGGCGGCCATTTTTTTATGACGGAAAATGACGTCATAGGGTGCGATCGAATCGGCATGAGCTCAGGAACAAGAAGAAAAAAGAATTTTGTTGATAGGCCTTACGGTTCAAAAGTTATTAGCATAATAAAAGTGCAACTTTGGACAGTTGGTGGCGCTAGAGGGAATGAGTTAGAGACACCAAAATTGGTGTATTTAAAGTTGGGACTGTCCTCTATCAGAATGTCAAACCAAAACAACTTTCCCGCAAACCGGTCTATGGGCTGTCATAGACGCCCAGTCGGAAGAAGAATAATAATAATAATAATAATAATAATAATAAGAACCGGCACAGATACAATAGGTGCCTCCGCACCTTCGGTGCTTGGCCCCTAAATATGTAGTATTTAAAAAAATAATTAATTTTCAAAAAGCTATTTTTGAAAAAAATGTATAGATTAAAATGTATGATCATTTAAAACTGTCCATTTGAATGTTGAGGTTGGAATGTTCTCCATTCCAAAAGAATGAAAGTGATGATGTCATCAATTATGGGATCTGCATACTGCATTGTGATAGGCCTTTTGAGTTTACCTAAAGTGGACATCTGCTTGGTCCAGAAGCTGGCATCCCAGTTAAACTTGATTTTCAATGGGGTCCAAGCCTCTGAGAGCATCAGTGGCTCCAGTAATTGCTGCATCTGAAGAGCAATCTGACAAATGAATTATAGATCAAACCTCATGATTACAGAGACACCGAGTTATAAATATTGCATGCAATTCTGGCAATGAAACTGAAACTCTTTCTGCGCTGTTTCTATTTTTGAGTTCGTGAGAGCATGATTAAGGCGAACTCTAAGAGATCTAAATGCAGCAGCAAAAAGAGGTGAGGCTGCTTTAAACTAATAGCGCTGACATCTTTTTGAGACCTGCCAGAAACATAGAACGCAGCTGCCAGGAATCTTAACATCTAAAGCCCACTTGGACGTTGAGAAAATCCTACCAGCTCTTTGCTGAATAGCAGCGGATTGCGTCTGTGATGGGCCGTAGCCCAGGTAAAGAAGTTCTGCACATGCTCCAGCTGGCTGCACAGTTCTATGGCCCCCTGCAGCTGGTCCTCCAGACGTTGCTTGAAATCACTGGAAATACTCTGCACCGGAAGACAACGACAAAAACATGGATCCCCTCGTCACTTTTCCCAAGATCCCCATCTGTTTGGATTTGTCACTACTTGGCGGAATCTGTCTATTTTGCATGATTTGCTCTGAAGACGTTCAGTTCCGCACGCTCCATCACCACGACATCCACAGTCAGCTGGATGTTTGGAGATGAATGCGTTTGGAAAGACGGAGAGGGAGAAAAAGTAATTACCTCCAGTTGCTCTATTAATAGGTTGGCCCGTTTGTTAAGCTCGTTCATCATAATCATCTTTGCCATTTTTATCTGGTTCTCTGCCTTCCTCTGCGTGATCTTTATACCGTGGAGCCTGGACAAACGGAAAGAAAAATGAACAGGGAGATGGCTAAGGGAGGATAAACAAACCGATATGGCCAGTACATCTGGATGCTTAAACATCTGCTGAAATCATTCAAAGGAAGTAATGGATCTTGTTAATGTCATTATGCTTCATTTAATCTGTTTGTCTGTTCAGATGAGTAATGGACACGCTTTGCTTAACTAGCATTAACGCTAACATTAGCAGCATCGAGGAGGTGGAATAGATGAGGTGTCGCCCCACCTGCCCTGGATCTGTTTGGCGGTGCTCTCCACAGTTGATCTTTTCTCCTCCACTCGGGCCATGAGGTTCTGCAGGAGCCAGCGCTGGTCTTGCAGAGCTTTCCCAACATGCACCAGCCTAGAGACAAGAAACCAACAGCAAGTAAAACACCTTTGACTTTTAAAGTTTACACACAACATGCTCGATAGCATATAGCTGTTGATACGTGAGAAAGAGGCCATCTGTTCTGTCTGCATCTTTGTGCATGTGTTTAGAAAGACCTATGAGAGAGAGAGAGAGAGAGTGTGTGTCTGCAAGTGCTTGGATGTGTACAAGTGCATCGTGAACGTATGCATGCGTGTCAGTGGGTATTTGTCCTCTACGCATACCGGTGGTCTTTGTGGGCGGACAGGTGACAGATGCTGCAGGCCATGAGGTCGCACGTTTCACACAGGAGTTCCAGAGGCTCCTGTTTATGGAGAGGACACATGACAACAGCATGCCCGCAGCAACCGGCTCCTGAGACACGCAACACAACAGAGAGAATTAGATGATGCCCATTAAGACCACATTATCTATAATCAAGAATCACAAATCAAAAAGAAATGTTATAAACGTACGATTGAAAAATGCATGAAAACAAATGTGTTAATAAAAGCATGTGGAATCTCTTAGAGGTTTAATGAGGTTTTAAGTACATGTATGCAGAGCGAACTTGTTGGCCTCTGTGAGTCACTCTCTATGCTAGCTTCATTTATTTTTAGTGGAAAAACAAAGCCCATCAAAACGCTTATAAATATTTCTGGACGTATAAATGCATCTTTTTATTCCAGCAAAAGAAAAAACAGATAAAAATGGAACACAGCAGAGCTTTGATCAATCAGTTAATGTCTCATTAAAAGCCCTGCCAATACGAGGAATGTACCTCTACATGTGCTTCTGAAGAGCCAAATAAAGTAACAGATACTGCCATCACGTGTACCTTTCCAATGGCCCACATTTCTGACACAAACCCAGCACTGGACATTTACACAAACTACCCAGCTAACTAAAAGATGTTCTAAGAACATTTTGCTGACATTCCCATTCAGTTATAATAACGTTACTTCTGAATGTTCTCTGACAGTGCAAAACATCTAGTTTTAAAATGCAGTAGTAACATTTAAAAGAAATGCTAAGCAAACATCTTAACCTTTCAGGTAAAAACATTCTATGAACGATGTATAAAAAATGTTTTTGTGTTAACTTTGTGAGAAGAATATGAAAAGATACCTTTGAACAATTTTTTTAACATTACTAGAAGAATGTTTGCTCATAACTTTAAGAGAACCTTGTTAGCCACAATGTTAGCTAAAGTGGTGAGAAAGTTCCCAGTCAGCTGGGGATCCCCACATACAGGGCTTAGACCATTTTATTTTATTTTATTGTATTTATTTGTTTTTTTTAGTAATTTAACTTATTTTGTTGTTCCAATAAAACAAAAATAAATTCTTTCTCTTTTTTATATGAATTACTATACATTTATATATTTATTTTAAACATACAGTACTGGTCAAAAGTTTAGAAAAATAACTTGCTTTTAAAAACGCTCATTGAGTTTTTGAAATGCACAATGTGCATTTGAAATGCGCATTTTGTTTTTGAAATGCTCATCAAGACAATTCTTATGCTCATCAAGGCTGCATTTATTTATTTATTTGATCAAAAATACAGACAATACAGTGATATTGTGAAATATTATTAAAATAATTAAAATAATATGTTATCAAAACTAATAAAAATAATATTCAAATTTAAATAAATAATATTAGAATAACACAATTAAATTAAAATATTATTAAAACAATTCAAAATAATGGTTCCCTTTCGAGGGAACTCGCGATGCGTCGATGACGCTTTGGGAATGCCTTTGAGTCTGAAGCACTACTGTCAACTAGTCCAATGGAATGAATGAAGGGTCACAGGCGGGTGAGGTCATGACCATGAAGACCGGTGCAATGCACGCATTGGCTTTTGTATTAGCTTTTATATTTCAAGAAAATAAATAAAAAACAATTGGAGTTTCCTTCGTGGCGCCTTGAGACTGAGGCCTGCAGTTCAAACTATGGTGCCGGCATGGGATCTGGGGATAGTTTTGGAAGGCCTGTCAGGGGCTCCCTTCGAGCCACTAGAGTAGACCAAACTAATGGATGGTTAGTTTCAGAAAAGTTCCTGATATGTTAAGACATTTTCGTCCCTAAAAAGAGTCGGAGACCTTCAGGCTCTTCTGGTGTCTCCCACCTGTGAGCACTGGACACCTATATCCACAGGGCTGCCCCGTGGAGAAGATCTGATCAGTTGTTTGTCTGTTTTGGTTCACCTAAGAAAGGTCTTCCTGCTTCTAAACAGACAATCAGTAAGTGGATAGTCGAGGCTATTTCTCTTGCATGTGAGTCCTCTGGCCAGATGTGCCCTTTGGTGGTCAGAGCTCACTCTACCTGAAGTATGGCATCATTGACGCATCGCAAGTTCCCTCGAAAGGGAACGTCTCAGGTTACGACTGTAACCCTAGTTCCCTGAGAAGGGAACGAGACGATGCGTCTCCCTGCCATACTTCCTGCATCCCTGCGATTGACTTTGCTTCGGCTCTATAAGCTAACCTGTGCATTGCACCAGATGGCCTTTTATATCTTCCTGGTTGCCTTAAAATTTTAAGTTCATTGAACTGGAAAAAGTGAGTTAATGCAATGAAGGAGAATGATTTAATCATCAGAAACTCAAAATAATAAGTTCAACTAAATAAATTATTATAAAGTTGATTTGACACAAGAAAATATGTTGTGATAACAAATCTTGAAAATATTCATTCATTCCATTGGACTACTTGACAGTAGTGCTTCAGACTCAGTCACGCAAAGGCGTTCCCAAAGCGTAATCGACGCATCGTCTCGTTCCCTTCTCAGGCGTTTTCTATTTTAATGCACTTAAAATATAATTTATTTCTTTGATCAAAGCTGAATTTCTATCATCCATTACCATCAATTATTATCCATCCATATTATCAATTCAGAAATTATTCTAATACACTGATTTTATCCTCAGTTTTTATCAATGTTGGAAACAGTTGTGCTGCTTAATATTTTTTTGGGGAACCTGTGATACTTTTTGCAGGATTTATTGATGAATAAAAAGTGTTAAAAAAAAACTTTTCTACCTTTCTAACTTTTCTATGGTGATCAATCTTGAAAAAGTATCATATGTTATAAAATTAAAAATTAATTAAAATGAATCATATGTTATTATAAATTAATGTTATTCTACATTTCCAACATGATAATAAAACAGCATATTAGAATGATTTCTGAAGGATCACGTGACACTGAAGACTGAAGTAATGAGTGATGAAAATTCAGCTTTAAATTTAATTGCAAATTTATAGCGAAATTCATTTTTTTTCTCAAATAAATGCAGGCTTGATGAGCATAAGAGACTTCTTGTTTCCAATAATGTTTTTATTGTTAAAATATAAACTAGATGCCCCTGCTTTTTTCAGCTCAGCACATAAATCCACAAAACTCTACCAAAGATGTCTATCCAGAAATTAGTTGGTGTGAATATACACACATCTACTTGAACCTGGGCTGAAGCAAACGGCATAAACAAATAAATCAAACATTTTTGTTCCATTATTATACCAAAAAATCCTACTCTTAATAAAACAAGTCCCTTTGCATACATAATTCTGCAACCAGAGAGTTAGTCAGGCAGAACGCAGAACTCCATTAGAAATGAAGGACCTCGGTGACAGCACCTGTCACACTGGATCTACAGTCTGTCCATCAGAAGCGCTGGCTGGCTGATGCTGTGACAGTATAGGGTAGACAGAGAGACACGCTGACACATTGCACAGGGAGAGAGGGTGTTAAGTATGAGACCACAGGCTCCAACACTGAAGAGCTCCCACTGCCTCAGTGCATACTGGTGACCGACCACATCCTGCTTCACACCCGCACTTCTGTTTCTCTCACACTCTCTCATCTATCTTTTCTGTCATTCTTTTTTGTCACTTTATTCTCTTGTTTTTTGTGAGGACTTGTGGTGACGCTATCATATGTTTAGTGGATTTCAGAGCGTCTCACGAAACAGCTCAGGAGTATCGACGAAAGGAAGCTAGTATAGGACAAGCTGGCTAATTTTGTGCTGCCTTTTCTGAGAGAGAATCAGTTTTAGAAACTAGGTCACATAAAAAATACACCACTACAATACATCACAGGATAATTATTCACACTTATTATAAAATGCATTATTCATGGAGTTAAAGAAGAGGGGTTCGAAAAATATGCTGCAGAGCTGACAATGTCCAGTGGCTAAGAGCAGACATGTGCAAGCAAACAGCCAACCAAAGCTAAAAGAGGAAAGTAATTACAGATAGGCAAAAGAGAGACGTCTTGCCTATTTCAGACGGTGACGGAGGGTCTCGCGGCTGGTGCTGCAGATCAGAGGGTTGAGTGGAGACTCTCTCATGCTGGTGCAGGTCTGTGCACTGGAAGCACAGCCACTTGTTGCAGAAGGTACACAAGCTCTGCGCCATCCGGGGCTCTGAACACTCAGAACAGCACTGAAGCACAAGCAGATACATTGAGGAATCATTCTTTTGCATTCCGATAGGATGGAGTGAAGTAGTAGCTAAAAGTAGCATCTGTAAATATCTCAAGTAGCACTTTAAAATATCAAAAGAAGTGTTTTTTTGTTGTTGTTCATACAGTTAGTCAATATTGTTTCACCCCATTGACTTTCGAAATATCGTCTTTTGTGTTCTACAGAAGAAAGAAAGTCATGTAGGTTTGATTTTTTTGGGGTGAACTATTGGATGTCTACTGGGACTTAATATTTATAAACCAAGCATTGTTGTCATGAAAAACAACATAAAGCATTCATAATGAGAGCAAAGCTGCCCGTTTCAAAGGATGCCAAAAATATTCACATTTACATTCCGCAGTATTCCCAAAAAGCAAACCCAGCGAAACAATTACACATTATGCGACATCTGTGTGTCACAAGAAGCCGCAGTTTGCTGATTACCTCAGTGTCAAACCAAAAACAAATCAAATGTTGCATTTTGCAACTCTCCAAATCTCCCTGAAAATGCAATGCATAAGCAATCTTACCTTCTCCATGGTGGTGGCGGGATCCAGATTCCTCGTGAGAGCGTGAGAAAGATTGCGATATCCAGCCGAGCAGCTCTCGCAGCAGTGAGGCAAGGACACGGCAAGCCTCTGACACAGCTAGAGCTCCACACCACACTGTGACAGCTCTACCTGCGGCAGGAAGTAGTGCACACTGCACACTTTAACCCCGGTGGAGTAGACTCCTGAGCGCTCCTCGTGTGCCCTCAGCCGTGGCCGGCGTGTAGCTCTCCTCATTGGCTTCCTGCAGCAGCTCGAATCTCGAATCCTTCCCTCTGACAGCCACCATGATCTTTCTTCTTAAATAAGCCTGTTCATAATAATTGGGAATTAGGGAGGGCTGATAATTATTTTTTTTTCTGGGACAAAATATCCCCGGCAGCCCTTGTTGCCAAAAATGGAAGGGGAGAGGTGCCAGATGACCTACAATATTTAAGAGAATGGCACATGAAGGGTGTGAGATGGATCGGGGATGAGGGAACACACGTTGGTGCCCTCCTTCCTCACTTCCTTAGATCAGCACTAGTAAAGGACAGGTCCCTCCGGACAGGACCCGCTCCCACGTAACACGCTGAAACCGGGTCAGCCTTCTCCAGGAGAAGATGGGAATTGAGATGTGCTCGCACAATGCCCTGCAAAGCGTGAAATCAATTATGATTGTATCACACTTCATCTTCTTGAAAGAATTTTGAGGCATGACTTCTTCAAAATCTTTCACAGGTAGGAGATATTCAACAACCAATGCATGAAGTGGAAAAAGGCAGATGGGTGGGCGGGCAAAAGGGGATTGGCGTAAACTAACGAAACCGTACGTAACCCGAACTGACATCGGTATCGTGCAGATCCCCACTAAGAAACCACCGTGAGTCTGCCTGACAACAACCCCTGCAGCCTGACCTACAAATCTGACAACTCTCTCTTCCTCTAGAGCTGCTCATGGGAGCTTAAAACCATCCGATTCCCCATTGTGTACCCACAGACCCACTTTAAAACACAATTAGTCTACCCAGCCAGTCTTTCTCTTGTTCTTCGGGCAGACAGGCGTGCATGCGTCTCCCGTCTTGCCTTCCGTGCCACTCCATTTGGCTTTTAAAACAAAAAGCTTACGCTTCCTCTCTCTCTCTCTTTCTAACTGCCAGAGATAGCTCCTTTTCTCCAGTAAGTGAATTCAGCATGAGTATCCTTCTGCCTGAGCAAGCACAGCCATCTCTAGAGAAAGTACATTAATAGAAACTTGAGAGGAGGTTCCTCCCCTGGAAGAACACCTTAGTAACATCCATTAACATCATTGGTTATGAGATCATGGCAGATTTGCCCATAGCAGATGGTAATGTCTCACTACAGATTATTCAATTCATTAGGTCTTCCACTTATTACAAGTGAATATTTATTTTAGCCAATTATCGGTTTGCAGATTGAAGTCATAACACAATCATTGGTTATTAGAAAGAATGTTGTATATCCTTTACATAAGTGATACTAAGTTAATCTGATGTTTAAATCCCAGTATGGAATCCATGTACTGGATAGTTTCAGGTAGTTCCAAATGTAATATAAAAGTGAATCTTATTTATAGGGGAAAAGGACTTTGTCAATATCATTGTAATTGGTAAATAGGAAGTGGTAACACTGAAAACATAACAGAAGAACATTTACATAAAAATAATAAACCACCTTAGATAAAATGTTATGAGATTATATGTAAGCAGAGATATCTTGACTTCTATTATGCTGTGGCCTACAGTGATAGGCAGAGATAAATAAGTGTAGCCACTGAAAATGATAAGCAACCACAAGCTTTGCAGAATAAAAACGGCACATTACCAGTATGCTAAAAAAAGGTTTTCATACATATAGGCTATAAATTATAAGGTGGGAGTCTTAGTAAATGGCCATTTTCATACAGCTATATTTTTTCCAACATATAGGGATAAATAATAATAAAAATGGCAAAAAGTTGCAAGTCAGAACCAAAATTAGACGCCAACTAAAGAACAAAAGTTCGTTCGACCAGAATGATCCAACCCGACACTACTATACGCATGCGCACGGCATATACTTCGGCAATAGACGACATTTCAGTGTGGATAACTTTATAGAATAAAAGAAATATAACACACACACATTTTTTTTTTTTCAGAGATTAGTAAAATGTTTTTCCAGGCTAACTGAAGTTTAGCTAATGGCTGGCTCCCAATTATGGACAGATCGGCGACCCGCAAAGACGACCTTTGGAGTTAGGATACATTAAATAATTTAGCAGATGTTTACATTTCATAGCGATAAAAAAAAAAATCATATTTGCACATAAAGTCGTAGTATAATTCGCACACTAAATAAGACAATTATTCAGCAATGTGGAAATATGTGCCATTTTAACAAACAATAGTAAGTTAATTGGAGTCAATATAGGAGGCAAACACGTTAACGTTATGTTGACAGAGTGAAACTTAATGCTTGTTAAGGGATTTTACAGACAGATAATAATAGGATTAATTCCATTTCAAACCCCTCTGGAAGATTATTTCGCGCCATTTACTTCAAAATACACACAAAAAAAGAATAATAAAGACTCCCCAGAAACACTTTAAAAATGAATGGTGCTAAAACGAACGCGTTGAACAACATGATACGAAGCACATGCACGTGTGTTAGTTGTAATATGTCAAAATGCCCCCAAGTATAGATAGACCTCTGCGTTTTTTGGGAGAATCTTCTCGCACACCTCAGATGGGATGGGACTCCACAAAATCCTGCACAAACTGCTCATACGTGCAACATTTGTGATTAGCGCATAGAGCGTCACTGATATAATCACTGACGATAAAAAACGAAATAGTGATGAACGCATGCACACATAATGAGTTTGAACCGCACCTTGCTTCTCTTGAAGAGGCACAAATCCAAAAAGCATCCTCCTCCTCCTCCTCTTCGGCGGCTGTAAGATTATCGCGATTTCAGCAATGCTTCAGTGTCTAAACTAGCTTCATATAACCATATCCTTAAAAGTCTTTCCACCCCTGGAGACTATTTTTGAACGCTTGTGATTTAATTTCCTCTACCGCTTAGGCACTGCAACTGTCAAAGGCACAATCGTGCATACATCTATAGATGCACAACTTTAAGCGTAGACTCCAGTAGATCTGCCATCTGTGGAAAAAAACTAGCACACGCAATCAAAGTTGTAATGGAACCGACCGCATTATCAATCCTGTCCTTCACCTCACCGTATCACGAGTCTTTTTTCGTGATACGCACCCTGCGTTGCGCACTAAAGTTCTTTACCTTTGAATGTCGTCTGCATCCAATCCAGCAGATGTCGCCTTTGCCTCAGGTTTCAGGTGAAGAAATTAGATTAAAAAAAAAATGTTTGCCACACTATATTAGTGATTTGAGCTGTCAGCAAGACAATATAGAAAGCTTTCAGTTGATTGTCTAATGCTGGCAGATTAAACCATATTATTATTCGTATCACACGTAGCACCTGTTACGGTTAGGTAACGATGTTTATTCAACATGTTATATCAGGATCATTTTAATTGGAATAAAATGAGTTTTTTTTGTAAATACAAATTTTTGGATTGGGTAAAAAAAAAAAAAAAAAAAAAAAAAATCAACCCCAAAAAGTGTTACAGCACACACAGATAATATTTTAGTTAGTTTCTTGGATATACAAATCTGAACTGTAATTCGTATTTTGTATGCAATTATAATTTGGCACCTACTTCAGCAGCTTTTATAATTTCTACAATTTCTTTCACAGATTTGAACTTTGCCGACAAAAATAAATCCCTCCTGACAGCTTTTTTCTTTCTTGGTAGAGCTACAAAACACATTTGCTTTGACACCTTCTGTGACACTTGGAGAAAGATGTCAGTTCTGCACTTGCTCTCCTCTCAATAACTGTTCTTGTCCGGGCAGGGCCAAAAATAAACTTTTTTTGTGATACCTGCTAAGAGAGAGTGGATTGAGAAAAGTTACCAGACATAAATACTTTAAACCAACCATAAATCTGTCAAAAATATTACATATTGATATAATGTTCACCATCTAACACAATTAATTTGAATAACTTAGTTGGATGTTTGCAAGAAATTTGTGCTGGAAGTAGGATTTTAAATGTAATTTAGATTTCTCTGTTCATTAAACATTTTAGTGCATAAAATAACATTAATGGCATTTGCAATAAACATACCCTTTCTCTGAGATTAACCACTTTAGTTCATATTAATCCAACAAATATCAACTTGCAGATTTTTTTTTCTTTCCATCATCTGCCTTCCACAGACACCGGCTACACCAATACAGGACACATTTAATGAGTTGTGTATGTTTCTTTAATATAGAAAAAAAAAATGTGTCAAGTTTCAAAACATTCCCAGTGTATTATTCATTGCTACTATTTTACACACCAAAAAAAAAAAAAAAAAAAAAAAGCCAGACTAAAAGGATGGGAATAACTCAACTAATAGATAAGGCCTGTTTCTATGATCCTAAACATTTTGGAACAAAGCTGTTCATTAATGCGGACTGAGAAATTAACAGAAAAAGCTTTATTGATTTTTTTTTTATTAAACACTGTAAATAAGGTAATTATACTCTTCATGTGTTAATAAATGTACAAAATACAATTCATGGAGAAAATCTAGCGTTAAATACTACACAACCACTGTACATCCACCTGTCAAGTTTCCATTCATACATCTCATCCAGCTTAGCACAGCTATCTCTAAGGGTGGAGGTTATACTGCAATATAACCATTCATACTCTCAGTACCATCCTATTATTTCTCTAGTATCATATACAAGTACCAGGAAAGGTAACAACAGAGCTACATGTGAGATTAACAGCACGGCTTCCATAAATATGTACAAAAACATGAACGTCAGAGTCAACGCAATAGACATGGACATACGTGACTAAGCCATATTAGGTCTTCAGATGTAGCATTTGTAGAAAATGTCCACAGTTTTTGGTTTTACTGTAAAGTGTTCTTTAGTTCTTTTTATGAAGGAACTTCATTTTATTTCCTGAAAAAAAAAAGATAAAGCTTTGGTGTATCAGGTCATTTCTGAAATGCCTTTTCATAAAAGAAGGTTGATCTGTCCACCAAACTGCCAGCTGAAAACGCCAGGCACACGTTTTTTATTGTTGTTACTAGTTGTTATCTGATTTCAAATATAGTCATCTGGTCGAGACATGTATAAGAGCAGCAAAATATGGTCAGCAGAATGTTCAGTAATTTGTCCCAACCACTCTCCACTGTGATTGGATGGCTGGGTAAAAAGTGACAGTGACAAGCACTGCATTTTATTCAAAGTTGACATTTTTTTTAACTCTCAGCAACCAGAAAAAAAAGGAAAAAAAACTTGCAGCACTCAGTGTAAAATAGACACTCACAGTGTTGTAGTCGAGACCACCTCACTCGAGTCCGAGTAGACACCGAGACCAGAGAGAGTCGAGTCCGAGTCAAGACCGAGTCCATAGAGAGTCGAGTCCGAGTCGAGTCCGAGATCAGAGACGGTCGAGTCCGAGTCGAGACTGAGACCAGTGAGGGTTGATTACCTAATTTACTTTTATTTACTTAGAGAAATCCTTTTTTTTTTTTTTACTGAATTTACTAAGAGTTTAAAAAATATGATCAGTTTAGGGTAAAAAGGCCACATAGTAGGTGGTGTTAAAAGTAATTTTATTACAATTTGTCATGCGCAGTTGCGCACTAGAAAATCACCAATCACTGGGCGTGTCAATCAATTTAACGAAATATTTTATTAACATACATTAATAATCATGAAAAATATTTTGAATTGAACTCGAGTGGACTCGGGAATAATTCCGAGTCCTAAAAAAAAAAAAAATGTTCGAGTACGAGTCAATTCCGAGTCCAAATGGACACGAGTCCATGACAAGACCAAGACCATTGAAATATGGTCTCGAGACCGAGTCCGAGACGAGTCCGAGTCTCGAGTACTACAACACTGGAAACTCAGCTGTGTTTCGTTTAAATACGAACAATGGAAACAATTGAAAACGCTTTGGTGGACAGTACACACACCTTTTCATGTGTATGTGAAACATAAATGCTGTTCTGTACTCACCTAAACCCTTCAGAAATTTGTTGACTCCACTCTGTTCAGTGTCTGGTAACTCCTCCAGATACTGTTCCACTCTCTGCTCAAATAGACCTGATAAATAAATAAATAAATATACCCATTATTTCTATATTTATTTTTAAGCTTCAGTCAAAAGCATTGTTTTTGTTAACCAGAAGGTGGCAGTAAAGATCTGACTTGAATATTAACACCTCTCCACTCTATCTCAAAAAGACCCACACAAGTAGTGTATAATTATGCTGGGTGTGGGTTTCGAATTACACTTATAACGGCCTGAAGCTAATAGGCAATGATGTTTTATGAGAAGCCATTTTCTTTAATTGACCAAGCACGATTTACCTTTAGCCCTATACTTCCTCATCTCCTTATCCTGGATGAATCCAGCAAACATCTGAGACTCCATGAAGACACCCAGGAATCTGCGGATGCTCTTAGAAGCCACCGACTTGCGGAAGGCTTCGCGCTGGAAGATGCGCTCCCCTCTTTCGCCCTGGGTAAGAAACAGGGGATAGTGGCCAATGGTCTCCAGGAAAAAGCGGATGAAGGCCTCTGACACCACACTGTTCAAAGAGGCGGTGCACTCTGTGAAAAGAGGGGATATCAAAAAAGATTCATTATTCAATATCCTAGAGCAACTCAACTGGCCATTTATATTTTATCAACAAACAAAGTTTGACTAGGAAATGAAACAGTGAAGCCATATGTTCTGCTTCACAGTCGGAGCATGTATGCAAATAGCCAGTGAGTCCATTGAAAACAGATGGGCAAGGCCACAACGCCAGGCTTTTCACCTTCATCTGATTCGCTGTCGGAGTCTTGATTGATGATGTCGTTTCTCTGTTCGAGAGATTGCTCCAGAGCAGCTTGCAGTTTGCGTGGTAATAGAGAGGCCTCGTCATCCATCTGTGTACAGGAAGAGTACGAAGATTAACGCTGTAACAACGTTCAGTGATTCATATCATGACACAGCCTGCTTGTTTAGATTAGGCTTGTTCTCAGATCTTAATGGCAACACGCAATTAGCACTACAGCCATGGGAGAGTTTGTGTGAAACTTTTTGGAGAGAGATTGTTTATGGACGAACCTGTCTGATGAAGCGGTCTGTTCCAAGATCGACCATTAAAGCCTGAAACAGAAAGAGAAACCGATCTCAATTAGGTTAGGTGCGCCACCACGACTAATTTCAGTCATGTTTAAACGGAAATTATGTAGCCGACTAGATGACTAGTCTAACAAACCTCCGGAAGACTGTCTGTATAAGCAATGCATTTAAAATAATTGATCGCTATGAATCAAAAAGTCAAATCCCATACTGAATGGCACTAAAAAATAGGTCATATACATGTAACGCGCTTGCCTTGCATTATGATTATCGTTGCATTATGAACCGCTCATTTCATGTCTTAGGCCATGTCAAGTCAAGTCATTAAATCATGTTTAATTTGGACTTCTCAGTGCATGCTCTTTGAGGTGGACCTCATATACCGCCATTATATGACTGACAGACAAGAGCGTTTTGAACGCAACCACAGAAACCGAAAATTCTCGGGCCAGCAGCATTTGTCCAAATCAATCTTAACCGTTCTATACAATCAGAAACGATCTTGAAACAGGGCTTTAAGTGTAAAATATAGAATTTGTCCTTTAAAATGGGTTTGGTGCACACAGGATTAAAGAAGTACCCCATGTGTAAAATGAAATGGACCTATTTTGTTTCTGCCAGAGGGCCTGAACATCTTGTTCAGATACATGGCATCATGGATTCGATCAAATACCAACAGATAAAAAAATCAAAACCTGACAACCTCTGCTAGAAATCTTATAGTGGGCCATGTTTGGATCTTCCAACGGGACAGTGATCCAAAAACAAACATCAAAATCAAAACAAAAATGGGTCACCGAGCACAAAACCAAGCATCTACAATGACCACCCTATAGAAGATGAGTGGGCTGAACTGAAGAGAAGAAGCGGCAACATAAATCTGCGAATCTGAAGAGATTCTGTATGGAGGAACGGTCTCTGATCTCTTGTCAGGTCTTCTCCAAAATCATCAGGCATTATAGGAGACGACTCAGAGCCGCTATTTTGGGAAAAGGGGGTTGCAAAAATAATTGTTCCCAATGTGTTTTGGAGCAAAACATTCATTTCATAATGTCATTTCCCTCCCCCACTTTCAATTCTTTTACTTCAATAAAAGGTTCGATTTGTGCAATTCTTTTAAAATAAAATATCAAAAGGATAAACACAGATTTATTTTTAACAGCAATCTTTGATCATATTTACCAAGGGGGACAAATAATTCTGACAGCACTGTATAAAAAAGTACCTGTACACATGACAGGTGACAAAAATCGAAGAAAAGCTTGACGTGTACCTTCGCTCCAGATATACACCTTACAAAATTATGTATATTTTTTTAAAAGTTGAACAGTAACATGACACTAATTAGAACATAGCCTTTGTACAAATATAAAGCAAATCATAAATGAGCAAATAATAAAAAAATAAACGTTAACAACTAGCAGAAGCTGTATCGTTTAGTCGACTAGTCTTGCACATCCCTAATCTCAACTGGCTGAAACATTGAGTAGCATCATTCTGTTTAATTACACTGTATTAAGTTGTTTAGGGAGTCACAACATTTCCAGAAGTTGATCCACAACAGATGGAGCCTGACACCCATTTAAAAACACAGTGTTAAACATGACAAGCACCACAAATTGGTGTGCTTCCAGATGTTTTCCCTGCAAACGGTCACCCCTTATGGCCATTACAATTACACTTATGTCCAAAGTGCAATTTTAAAAAAGTACTAAAGACGACTCCTGCCAAACGCTCTAAATGCCAAAGACTCGGTAGCTGGCACTGTCCTATGGGCAGCTGGGAACAACAACACTCTGCCGGTTGGGAACGTTTAGAGGGGAGAAGGCAACAGCCTGGCCAGGAATGCCGAGCTAAGCTTATGAAGCCGACGCCACATTAAAGGCTCATACACAAAAATTGGCCAGTGTTTTGGACATGCTATTATACTTAGCATGTTTCTCACTCCTTCCAGCATCTTTCTGAACCTGGGAAAATGACTTTAGTTCCATATTCACTTCAAGAAAACATAAGGGTTCAATGTTCAGCCAGCTTGTTAGAATAAGAGCATAATTGAACTGTTAAGGAAAGGTGCCAATGTGATCATATTCAGAGGAATTCAAAGTCATGATCAGGGAAACATCTCTCAGAATAATAACCTCCAAATATGAGTAAAAATTACTGAATCTTGAAAACAAATTCTTCTAGAATCAGTGGGGTGATTTTGTTATGCAGTGCATCTGTATAGAAAGTAATTAATTTTTAAAAAGAATCTTCATTTTAAGATATTTTTTCTTGGGTGTTAAATATTTTTAGGGCTAAACCATTTTGGAAATAAAAAAAGGGTTTGTTCATGCTTATTACAAGGACCAACTCCAACCTCTTTCAGTTTTATGACTAAAATAATTATCACGCTCCGATTATTATGAGAAAAATCTATATATATTTTACAAAAAATAAATATATTGTAACAAAACTTAAAAGAAAATGTGAGTGATTTGACAATAGCACTAAGCCATGCTGTGATATCAATTTAATTTTGATATATATTGTGCAATATGAATTTAATATGAAATTATTTATTTGTGCACAAACTGCATGAGTTATCTCCTTGAATCTAACGACGGTTTTTCAGACAAACCTGTTTCATTTAAGCTGGTACACTTGACAAAGCATCCTATTACAACAAACAAGATGGGTGACAATGTTTGACAAGACATATCAAGTGTTGGATAGTGTCCGCACCTCCTCAACGGGTAGTTCCTTGAGCTTTGGCAGTGAGCTGGACAGAATACCCACTAGGAAAGGTGTGGGACAGCAGACAATGTCCACCATGGAGGTGGGTAACACAGGGATGAAGGTGTGCTGCCAGGAGAATGGGTAGAGCAAAGCCACCACCGCATGAACACAGCTGGAAAGAGTACTGTAGGGAAAGAGAAAAGCACACAGTCAATCACCAAGCTTTCTTAGCAAACACACTTTCTTAGCAAATCCTGTACTGGAAAAAGTCTATTGAGCCCAGATTTTCCACGTTTATTTTGGCTTTGGCGAAGGGACAATGGAATCTGTGATTATGAGAGCAACAAAAGAAAATATCCAGTGGCATTCAATAGACTCCTGTAATATTATGCTAGTGGCATTCAAGACATCAGCAACATAAAACTCCAAGGAGAACACAGAAAAAAAAAAAGATAAATCACTTGACTTTACCTTCGCATTTACATTAAACAATACATATTCTGCTCTCTTTGGTAGTTTGGTGTCAGATTTTAATATTTTATTTATGTAATACTTTAAACTGATCAAAAGTATCAGTAAAACATTTAGAAAGTTACAAAAGATTGCTATTTTATATTAGTATATATATCAAATAAATACTGTCCAAGTAATATTATTATTCATCAAATCAAATCTTGAAAAAAAAACAAATTATTGAGCAGCATATTCGAATGATTTCTGAAGGAATAATGAAATAATTCAGCTTTGCCTTCATAGGAATAAATTACATCTTTAAAATATATTCAAATAGAAAACAGTTATTTTAAATTGTAAAAATATTTCACAATATTACTGCTTGTACTGTGATTTTGACCAGCCTTTGTTTGTGAGCATATGAGACTTCTTTAAAAAACACAAAAAATTCTAAATTCTTAGGACCCAAACCTTTTGAATGGTAGTGTACACGAATTTGCAAGGCGAAGAAAATGACATGACGTGTTGCTGCTAGCTTTATGCACTCAAAGGTCGCAGAGTTCCCCAGGTAGCAGAAGGGGAGGGGCTAAACACTCTTAAGTGTCCAACATTACCATAGAAAATAAGTAGAAACAAGCAGAGAAACGCAAATTGTCATTTAGGGCTGTGAAACGATTAATCGCGATTAATCATATCCAAAATAAAAGTTATATGTGTGTGTAGTGTGTATAATTATTTTGTATATATAAATACATATGCATGTATATATTTAAGAAAAATGTGTTATTAATATATCAAATATTTATATTTATGTATAATATTAATTTTGTATAAATGTATATAATGTAAAAAACATGCAAATATTTCTTAAATACATATACTGTACATGCATGTGTGTGTATTTATATACGTATACAAAATAATTATACACACTACACACACATATACTATGTAAACGATGCGATTAATCATGATTAATCGTTTCACAGCCCTATTGTCATTACATTACAGCTGTCAAAACGTTACCAGTAAATCAATAGAAATGTTCCAACACAAGGGATAAAATGTTCCCACAAGACAATCAGCAAATCAGTGTTTTTATGTGTGTGTAACTTGTATTCAAATGGTACCTCATCTACAATACCACATTACCCATTGTAAGTGGAACAGGCAGTATGTAAATCTTCGTATCTTCAGGGTGATACGGTAAAGATTGATATATCATGATCATACCAAAGATTGACCGTAGCTTGTTCTTATTCAAAACATCCAATAGCAAATCACGTTCCTCAGCGCCTTAAATTACTCTGTGACGTTAAAGCAGCCATGAGATGTTACAGCTAAGGCTAAGCACAAAGTCACAAATACCATAGTGGCCTTCTCACGGTCCCAAGCTTGTTGATAGTGGCTGACCCTCCTTTCTCTCGCTCTCATCTCTTTTTGTCCCATCCACCACACAAGCCCACATATACAGAGGAAGAGAAAATAAACCCTCAGAAACACACTGACTCCAGCCGTGAATTAAAGTGGATCAGGGCTGAACCCAGTGATAAAATTTGGTATGCTGACAGTAAACTCAACATAATTGCAGCTCCAATCCAGCTCATTTGACAAATATCAGTTTGCATTTTTAATCAAATCAAAATATTACATATAATGGCCTGTGCTTAAAACTCTCTAGGAGTCTGAATGTCTGTGTGTGTGTGAGAGTCTGCATCCTGGCATGTTCACACTGGGAACAGGGAAAAGCAGATTTAAAAAACTAGCCACAGGCAAGTCAGGCAGATTCTGATAGCTGATACCTGGAATGTCAGCATAACTAAAGCCTCAGAGGCAAGTACTCATGGGAAAAGATGAAGACGGAACTTTAGACCTGTCCAAACACTGTTCTATGCTGCCCAAATCCTCCAGGAACCAAATAACATGGATGGAGGGTTGAGTTGAAAACTGCTGCTAGCTAGTGACTGACTCTTGCCTGGACCGGACTGTCATACAGAGCTGGTATGCACACGAAAAGTCTACATTACACACAAAAAAAAATGAAGTATCCTTTCCACCGAACACTTACTTTACACTTGTCCCTTACACACTGAACAAAAGATACAGTATAAGGGGTATTATATATTGTATATTGTACGTACTATTATAATTTTGTTTAAGAACTTGGTGTGATATTCATGCTGATCAATTCTAAGACTATAAAGATATGATAATGCTAAATATACAGTTCTAAAAATCATTCTAAATGTGAAAAAATCCACACCACAACAATAACAACAATGGCACAGAGGAATGATACAGTTGGAATCCCCTTCAGAAAACTTTTTTCCCACTAATGAATATTAAATACATTGACAGCCAATCGGAATCCGAGCATTGTACGCAGCGTATGCTTAGAATAAACAGTGTTATTGTTCATTGGTGTGGACGCTTAAATAGTTATCGTTGTGGTCATCTTTATGGTTATCGCTCTTGATGAGAACTTAAACTTCCATCAAAGATTCTAAAGATGTAAAAGATTACATTTGAAAATGTAATTCAACTTCTCTATTCTCTATCAAACGGAAACATTTTTTTTTTTTTTTACGTTGAGTGGGAATCCAAACTGTCATACACTGCCTCAAACACACACCAACAGGATTAACAAACAATATAACAAATTACATTTTATATAATATATAAACATTAGATGGAAAACTTAAACTTATAAACAGTATTCAATTAACTAAAATAGAAAGAATTAAAAACTAAATATGAATAAAAATGACAAAAACTTTAACTAAAATAACCACTGATTTTCAAATTATTAATAAATACTATAATAGTATATAAATATAACTAAATAATACTAAAAATAACACACTGATCCAGCGGAAACCAACAACTGCTAGAATTTGTTGTCTGTTGTGAGCAATGTGAGCTATCCCTAAAAAAAATAATTTGCAACAGAAGCAGCTCAAGGGTGAAAATTCAAGATTCTAATCTGAGCAACAACAAAAAATACATATGCTTTCATTTAACCATCCAAACTGATTTTAATAGACTCTAAACAAAATTGCATCTTTCATAACATAAATAATGGTAATGGCTGGCTGGCTTTGGGAAAAAAACCCTTGAAAATAATTCTACATATTTAACAAGAGCTTCTGCATGTTTAACCAGTGATGATATGTGGTGTGTGGATGTAAAATAATACAACAACACAAGGTTTATGTAAAAGTTGATGTTAAGTTTATCTTTCCACCATAATGCAATGTATTGAAACATATTCCTGTGATAATAAAACAGAAAAATGAAAAAAGAGAGAAGAAAATACCTAAAACATTCAGCAAGGACATAAGACACATATTGTATAATGACCAGTTTATTTAAACAAATGCTTTTTTTTCATGACTTTTCAATCGTCATGTTTTTTTGGCTTGTTTATTTCTGAAACTAGCCACACAAAAGTCTCTGGCCAACTTGGCAATACTGTATTACATTTGCCTAAAGGGTTTCCGTCTCTTTTTCTTTTCAACTTGTCTGGGACACAAAGCATTTTCCCACCTGGTTCTCTGTGCTCTGATTCAACAACAACATTCACTTACGAGAGGAAGACATTGAAAGCTACACTTAAATTTGCACACACAATGTACCCATGAAAAAGTAAGTAATTTGAGAACAACAACACATCAGAGAGTTTAACTCAATCCTTCCTGTCATTTTATAACCATACAGAATGAAGAAGAATCATTACACAGAAATTTCAGTAGCAACAATTCAAATTAAAACTAATGCTTAAAAAAAACGAATGTATTATTGCTTATTATTTAATGTAATATTGGGTGGTTAACAATCATAGCTGCTCTCCCCCCACAGAAACTCACTCGGCAGCATGATTGAATATCAGTGTTTGGTTTGGGCAGAGGAGCTCCCAAGACAATCACACAGCTAATGGAAAATGTTGTGATTCGAAAACAATTACTTTCTGTGCCACAAGAAATTGGACGGTTAAGCTTCACAGCCTACGCAGTGTGGAAAGGGTTAAAATACAAAAGCACATGAAATCCCAAGGAAAGAATTGCCTAACATGGAGTGAGTTTTCTTTCTGTCAGATCCTAAGCCGCAAATATTTGCTAAAAGCTACAGAAGCATACAGTACGTCTTTGTTGGCACACATTTTTTTTTGGAATTGGATTGCAATGGCCTTTCCCATGAGAGCGGCAGCAATGTCCTTGATGTGGGAGAAAGGAGAGTTTTCTACCTTAGTCTAGCGCTGCCCATAATCCACCTAAGGTTGCTGGGCAACACGGTTAGGCCCTGGACCAAATCCCATCAATCCACCTATCCTGTTTTTAACAGAGCCAAGCCCATGGAATGTCAATACTTGGCTTAACAGCATAATATGTTGTAACTAGAGCACTATCTATTATGATAATGGGTGTGATTCAAACCCATTCACAAAGAGCAGTTTGAAAAACGTTCTTTGAATGACAACAAAGAACATACTGCCTTTGTTTCTCTGATTCAAAGAAATAACATGCTTTGCTATTCTGAGTCAAATATTTGTATGTACTGTATGTGAACTAAGCCATTGGCGTACCATGTGAGAAAAAGGCAAATGTTATATTTTAACATATCTACTAGGTCAATAACACCAAGTATGTTCACACATATGCAGAATTCTTGTATATTATACACACATACATATTTATCTAGATGTATTCGTCCCGAACCGTAAGGGTACAGAAATGATTCAAGCTTTGTGACATGCTGCATTATACTGCTGGAAGTAGCCATCAGAGGAAGGGTACAAGGTGGCCATAAACGGATGGACATGGTCAGAAACAATGCTCAGGTAGGCCGTGGCATTTAAACAATGCTCAATTGGCACTAAGAGGCCTAAAGTGTGCCAAAAAAACATCCCCCTTACACCACCACCAGCCTGCACAGTGTTAACAAGGCATGATGGATCCATGTTCTCATTCTGTTACACCTAATTCTGACTCTACCATCTGAATGTCTCAACAGAATTCGAGACTCATCAGACCAGGTAACATTTTTCTTCAAGTCTTCAACTGTCCAATTTTGGTGAGCCCTTGCAAATTGTAGCCTCTTTTTCCTATTTGTAGTGGAGATGAGTGGTACCCGGTGGGGTCCCATCTGCCTCAAGGTTGTGTGTGTTGTGGCTTCACAAATGCTTTGCTGCGTAACGAGTGGTTATTTCAGTCAAAGTTGCTCTTCTATGAGCTTGAATCGTTCGGCCCATTCTCCTCTGACCTCTAGCATCAACAAAGCATTTTCGCCCACGGGACTGCCGTATACTGGATGTTTTTCCCTTTTCACACCATTCTTTGTAAACCCTAGAAATGGTTGTGCGTGAAAATCGCAGTAACTGAGCAGATTGTGAAATACTCAGACACCCGTCAGGCACCAACAACCATGCCACGCTCAAAATTGCTTAAATCACCTTTCTTTCCCATTCCGACATTCAGTTTGGAGTTCAGGAGATTGTCTTGACCAGGACCACACCCCTAAATGCATTGAAGCAACTGCCATGTGATTGGTTGATTAGATAATTGCACTAATGAGAAATTGAACAGGTGTTCCTAATAATCATTTAGGTGAGTGTATATATGTACTGTATACTGCAAGCAGAAAACACAGAGACAAATTGTAATCTGATAAAAGCAGTGGTTTGCCACCTTTTTGACTCAAAGGGCCTCCATTTATGGTAAGATATTTCCCCCAGTATTTCTGCTATAATTATAACAAAGCTGCTTGTTTTTAATCTTTTTATAAACAAACTGGGAAACAAACAGAAACTAGAGTTATTATTAAGGCCACTTCCACTTGGAAGTTTGCAGTGGGTCCTGGCCCACTGATTGAGAATGACTGGATTAAAATGCATGCATGACGGATGAAGCCAACCTATAATTACATAATCTAGGTTTTTAGTCCAACTTCGAAAAAGCCATACAGGCATGATTTTTATTCAGACTAAAGTATTGATGTAATTTTAAAAAGACAAATTATTTATACTTTTAAAGTGCATGAAAACGCACTTATTGACTGAATCAACCAAAAACTGTACAAATAAAGGAGCTTGACCCAATAACTTTTGTAACCAAGTAACATCCGTCACCCTGTGACAATATGGCTACCGATTAAAGGAGAGAAACACGCGCAGTCACTCACACAGGAAGTGCATTCCTTCCTTCACAGTAACTGCCCACCCCACATCACCCGCTGTTGTTTGTTTAAACTGGCTGATGATTTGTGGAGATTAAGCTTTCACAAATAACCTACTCCCTAATGACCCCCCATGCCCGGCCACAAGCTTCCGTGACCAAGCACGAAGGCTCGAAGGGGGGTGCCGAAACCTCCGGGGACCATAACGGCCCTAACAGAACCAAAGCCCTGTCTCTGCCCTGACCCACTTCTGTATTTAGATCAGCGGGGACTCCTGGGAGTTTAGCCCAGTGTCAGAGGGTGTAGTCAAATATGCCTCCTCTGATGAATTTAGCAGTGGCCTGCATGAAGCAGCCGTTGGGTCACCCTTTAACCAAAACCGCAGTGGAAGGCTGCTATTTGCCATTCGCACTGGACGGACACTGACAGACAAAACTGTACTGGGCCTGAAAACAACTATTTTCTGCCCAGATATGCCAAGCCGGTTTGGTTGGAACATTCGGACCGATACTATGATTGGTATTCCATTCAGAATCCCCATGGCCACTGACAAATATGGAATGATGCTTTCCTAAACTTTATCCTCTTAGTTCTAACTTGAGAACTGAGAAAGGAATAGGTCTGAAAAACAAAGACTACAGCAACAAAAATCACCAACAGGAGGGGAAAAACCATGACCCTAAAAGATAAAATTATTTTATTTGTAGCAGATGTTATTTTGCAGGCTCTGAATGAGCAGACGGAACACTGGAAGTGACACGGCACATCAGTGAAGAAAGGTTATTGAGAACATCTGCTGTTAGGCCACACTCAGACTGCTGTTGTCACAGTGGTCAGCTTGTCTTAGAAACACAGATCCATTTGGGAGGACTGTTTGACCATGTTTGGGCTGAAAAAGCAAGACGTTTCTCATGGGAATGAAGAGTGTTATATGAGATGAAATGCTGCCTACACTTGAAGGTTCATATTCATTGGCGCAAAGGCAGCAGTTACATGATAACTCAGACACTTGAGCTAACACACAAGGGTTTCTCACCTCAGCTTGTCAGCCACAAAGATGACCCTTCGTTCCAGCAACAGAGAGGCAAAAACACGTACCACCTGTCGTACACTCAGGCAGTTGAACAGACTTTCAAAGTCCACATGCTCTAGTCTGGAGTCCATGGGTCTCCGTAACTCAATCACCTGTGGAAAATAAAACACTGCATTGAAACAAGGAGCAATATAAATGCTGTCAAGATGGAAATAGAAAACTATTGGCTAATTCTCTATTGGCTAATAATGTCTGTTCGCAAGAAAAGTAAAAATGTAAACTGCTGGCCTTACTGTTGAACCCTAAATTTAATATCATGTAGTCTATAAGGATTCAGATCTCAGATTTCCTTTCATAAGTGTCCAATAAACTTATACCAATCTACAGCAGATAACAAAGCAGTCTAAATTATATGCGAGAAGGATCTAACCTCATTTCCTGCTCCAGGCAGGAAGGTTTTGACTTTTATGGTTTTGCCTGGTGCTGGGAACGGAGATTCCATCACACTCCTCATGAAAGGATATACCAAGGCAGCCGAGATCCCTCTCCTCCTCTCTACTTCATCAAGGATCTGTAACAAATGAAAGCCGAAAAAGTTAATGGAGAACACACCAGTGCTAACAGGCATTGACACTGCAAGACTACAGACTAGATTTATACACTATAGAACAACACTGATCGATTTCATGTGGTCTGTTTCTTTTTTCCTTTCAGATTTGTGAGTGGAAGTCTCTGGAATTTTAACCTGTCACTAGCAAGTCATGGTTTTCATCGGCTACATGTTTTTTTTTCAAGATTGATGAAAACATGCAGTTCAGATTTCCACTGAATATTATGATTAACCCAGGTTGGACACAGAATAGTTTTATACTTCTTCCTCACTTTCCCATGAGTGGAAGGTGGAAGTGAAGGAAATAACAGTGGTTTAATAGGCCAGGGAGAAAGACAGATGTACTAAGTTGGATGTACCTCATGCCAACACAAGCCTCACTTCAGCTGTGCCCATGTCTGACAGCCAGAGAGACAGTGTGGAGGTGTGTGTGTATGAACAAGCCTGAGCTCACCTTGGAAAACAGGTTGAAACAGCCCAGTCGACTGATGACACAATACACTTCAGGAAGGCGAGGCCCTTTCCCACTCGGCTACAGTGGCGGGGGAAAAGATTACACAAGCAATTAAATCATCACATGAAGTAACTGGTATGCAACACATGAAAAGCATCCAGGTGAATTGAGTAAAACGTATATAGTACTAAATCATATCTGTGAGAGCTGAATTTGAGATTTCGGTGGTGCTTGCACCTGCAAAAGTCACCACCATGACACTAGGGTGTTGTGGATAGTTGCCAGGGCATTCCTAGACATCACTTTTTAGGCTATGCAGTTGCTAGGGTTTTTGGGGTGGCTTGTGAAACCACAAGCCTTAATGATATGCTGGTTCCTGGGTCCTTAAAACACACAAATTAATCCTATATACTTGTGCCGATCACCTATTGTAGCGGACACCACCATTCAAAAGTTTGGGGTGTAAATTATTATAAAAAATTTTATCATTATTTTATGCTCACAGAGGCTGCATCTATTTGAGCAAAAAATACAGTAAAAATTGAAATACTGAGAGAAATTTAAAATAACTATTTTAACTATATTAACGTGTAATTTATCACTGTGATTGCAAAGCTTCTACATCCATTACCCCAGTCTTAAATGGCATGTGATCCGTCAGAAATCATTCTAATACGCTGATTTGGTGCTCAAATAATTTTTTATTGTTAAAGGGATACTTCAGGATTTAGCATTAAGCTTTGTATTAGTAGAAAACCTGTAGTATTTTTGAATTACCATGCTTTACATCCTCATATCCCCCGAGATGAGAGATTTATGTATTTTTTTGTCTAGAAAAAAATCTTCCGATGATGCAAAAATCGTCGTTTTGCATCATCTGCGGATTTTTTGACCAGAGGCTAAAGACTACAGCCAGTAGTAGGGGCTGTCCCGCATGTTTTCAACCCGCCCATAGAGGGTGGGATCTCACTCACAGAATGAACACAAAGTGTCAGCCATCTTTTTTGGAAGCTAGGCTGGCAGACCCTTGTTCTGTGGAGAAAGCTGAGTCATAGGGGTCTGGCCGTTGATGTCCGGGATTCAGCTTTTGCTTTCTGTAGTTGCCATTCATTGTTTAAATGCACACCTTTTGTTTCAATCTAACTGAATTCATTCAATTGGTGAATCTGAATGTAGTGTTTACATGAACGCTAAACAGGTGATTGGTTGATGTGCGTTTATCTTTCCAGAGGTGAAGTATCCCTTATACGTTTTACTCAATATCAATGATTGAAAAAGCTGCTTAATATTTTTGTGGAAACCATGATACATTTTTTTCAGGATTCTTTATTGAATAGAAAGCCTTTTCTGTCACTTTTGAACAAGTTGATCACATTAATCAACAACTTGCTAACCTAAAAACTTTTGAACAACATAGTATATATATATATATATATATATATATATATATATATATCTCAGACATATTAACATGTCACATCACATAATTTAGGAGTCATTAATGTCAGTAGTGGGACGTGTGACTTGGTAAGTATGAGCAATGGCTATGGTTGATTTAGCAAGCACCACTAAAATCGAGAGAGAGAGAGAGAGAGAGAGAGAGAGAGAGAGAGAGAGAGAGAGAGAGAGAGAGAGAGAGAGAGAGGTCCTTTGCTGTTCACAAAAACTTAAGCCACATCAAACAGATTTAAGGGTGTTAAAATAAGAGTTTCATGCTGTTTAAATAGATTTTTTAAAAGCTTTTCTTTAAACCGTGTGGATGGAATCATTAAAATAATAACCCCTTTTAAACATTGTCATCCCACTCAAAATTTTATGAACTCTGTTTTAGTATTCAGTTCATAACCTGAAGTTAAACACATGAAATAGTGCATGGTACAAGTCTAAAATAGATGCAGAATGTCCAGTGTAAACACAGCACAGGTGCAGTTCCACAAAACGAATGAGTTGTCACTCGCAATTCACTAAACAATCGAAAGTCTGGCTATTTTCTAGGAGTCCAACCAGGTTAGTGTCTCACAAAGCACACAGACACAAAGAATCTCATTCCTCTTGTCCATATTAGGTATGCAATTCTCCTCTGCTGACTTTTTACAAATGGATGATTAATTCAAGCATGTAGAGCTGGGTTCAAATCCTCAGGAATGCCGCCCTCATGCCAGCCCCTGGACTTCCTCCCTGCAGGGAACACAGTCAACACTTCTCTCTACTGGGCCATTCAGATGCTCAAAAAGATGAGTGGAGAAATAATAGAAGCTAAAGAAATCCCACAAGCCAATCGAATCCAAAAAATCTACACAAGGTCACATCTATAAAAGCAAGTTCTGAACAAGCAACAGCTAAAACTATCAACTACACATTAATCTTCTTTTATTTCCAGAACACACGTTTAGATGTATGAAATGCTTTAAAATTTTATTCTCAAACCACAGAAAACCAATAACATGCACTTTAATGCAAAACTTATGTATAACAATAATGTACAGAAAAAGCAGCACATTCTTAACAGCACATTCACAAATAAAACCACGAAACATGCCGTTCACCACAACATTCAAAAACAATAATCACCACAAAACTCCAAAGCACACAAATATATGACCGATTCTTACGGTAAAATGACATCTTTTGATGATTTGCATTTCCATTCATCTCCTGAGAAACTCTCATTAAAACGGAGACAAGTTTACGAGAATCTATTGCATTTTGAGCACAAAAAACAAAAAGAGCAAACCAAACACTTAAGTGACTGACCAAAACTCTATCCATATGCTTGACCTTTAAATACATGTTATGCAATATGCAATATATGTATGGTCATACTATCAAAAATAAAAGGAGCAAGAAAGGCATCCATAATATGAGAAAAAAAAGACTCACCAGAAGCCGTCTGCAATACCCAAAGCGTCTACTGCCATCTTCTCCGGTGAGCATAAAAGAGAAGGTCTCGCTATAGCAAATCAAAGACAGCCACCATTAGTACCCAAAACCCACATGTAGATCATGGGATAAGAAGAAAAAGTGTTTAAAACCACTTGAGACTGAAGACTTTGCCTTTGAGGCGTATCCTGTGGTTAGAAGACTTTATCAGGTTTCTGAGATGTTTTCAAAAACTTACTCAAATTACTGAGTGTTTATGACCTGGTGTATTTAACTGTGAATAATTGTGGAAGAATTGATTGTGGGATAATGTTCATAATGTAGCTTAATGAAGAGTAAATGATCTAAAGAGTAAGAGTAAATCTCTAAAATTGTTCTTGTTTTTTTGGCTTAAATGTACAGTAATGCCACCATTTCTCATCATTAATAGTTATCCATAATTCATACTGCATAACACAATGTGATTATAGCAATTAACAGCTTATTCATATCAGTGCATCCATCCATACAAGGAAACAGTGATACCTGTTGTATTCAGACACAGGGCTCCAGTCTTTGGCATCTGGGAAGCAGAATTGTGGGATAGCCTTGAGTCTCTGTTCAGCTTCCCTCATCTGCTTGGTGAGTCTCTCTAACTGTGAGGGTTAGATGAAAAGACCTGATAAGAAATCCATCTAATATATTTACACAGCCTCTTTATAACATCCCTTCAGACCTTCATTACTATGTCAAGTACGTACAGAATATTTTCCCACCCCACAAGGGGTCAATCCCCCGCTCCTACCACCACCCATGCCACCATCTGCCCTTTGTTCTAGTTTAAAAGCACAATGACGGGGTTGACCCTCTGTTGGGCAGAATGTCAACATATTTCAGCCTCTCAAGAGAAAACAATCACTGAAGCAGATCTCAGCTAATTAAAAACCTATCTCTGTAACCAAACATGGTTGCCATGGCAACGATTTCCTGCTTACACCACTTATTGTCAATACATCCCGACGATAAGAGCTCAAAGCATCTGGATTTTCAACACTGTCTCTGATGCATTTAATGGCATACATAACTACCATTAAATAAAACTATTTAAATAATTGCTTTATATTTGAATAACTGGTAGCACTTTTTTTTCCCTTTTCTTAAAGCCTTATATATAATGCATTAGAAAAGTATTTCTAATGCATTCATTTTGCCTCGTAATGAATAATTAAAACCACAGCTATAATACATTATAATAATTATGTTGTGCTTTTAAAAAGTATAGTACATTAAAGGACATGACAAACGACCAATATCCGGTGTACCATGGAATCTGCAAATATTATAATGCATTTTAACTTTGGTTACAATTATTTATTAAAAGATATAATGTATATTATTGTATGTAACACATATACAGTACGTGTATAGAAACATTATACTGTACATTATGAATACCTTACAATACATAAAGGCTTTAAGTAAAGTGTTTCTGGATTTCTTTTAAAATGTAATTTATTCAAAGCAGTCATTACTTTTCGGTGTCACGTCACATGATCCTTTAGATTTCAGTCTAATATGTTGATTTGGTGCTCAAGAAACATATCTTATTATTATGCTGGTTGATATTTTTGTGGAAACTGATACATTTCTTTGATAAAAGTAATAATGAAAGTAATCCATTGCTTTTTTCAAGAATCTTAGATAAAATATTAATGAATAAAAGCAATAATCTCTTTGAAACCTTACTGACCCTAAACTTTTGAGAAGTAGTGTACAAATCTGTTCTCAAATATCCCAAAAAAACACATCCCACCATCTAAAGAAAAAACACTCAATATAAATGACATTCAGGAAGCAGTAAGGAGGATTATATAAAATTCTACATCAAGGCTTCATCAAGAACTGTTGGATAGCAACTCTATCTAAAGGAGGCTAATAAATATCACTGATGTATATTACTCTTCAGCTACACGTAGATAGGCATCAGATGTTGTGCAAATGTAAAACAAACATAGTATCGCCCCTTTTTTTACAGAAAATATTCACCTTGGGGAACTGGTAGGTCACTTCAGGAGTATATGAGTTTTTGGTGGTCTTTTTCTTCAGGGAGACCACCACAAAGTACTCAAAGAGCTCCCTTTCCTGCCATTCGATCAGCTGCAGCTCCAGCGTCCTGTAACTGGGTGCACTTCGCAGCATAGACTGTAGCTTCAGTAACCTCTGAGTGTGGGCTGTGTAAGAAATATTGTGCAAAGTTTGCATATTGTGTGTACATGGTGATTTTCAATAAGATTTTCATGTAAAACACACTTACATATTTATCATAAAATAACAGTCTGGTAATAAGATCTTTTTTTTTTAGATTTCTAATCTTAACAGACCATGTGTGGAGCTCATTCTCATATAAAGTTGACTGAAACTACAACTAATAAAAAAATAATTTCCGATAATTGAAATAAAGCAAAAACTAATACAAATAATAAAAGCAAATAAAGTTACTAAAAATTACAACAAAAATTAAAATGAAAAAAATAAAATATATAAAAAGCCAACTCAAAATATGAATAAAATCTAAATTAGTATAGAAATAAATAAAATAACACTGCTCAGGTTTGACATTTACTTGAGACAAATCACAGGGTCATGTGATTTAATGTTATTTGCTCAAAGGAGTCTCTGAGCAGCGCTCAACTCAAACACACTGCCTTCTCAGACATAGTGTATGTGCTGATCCCTCACCTTTGAACCTGTCATCAGAGTCACTTTCACTCTCACTGTTGTCATCTACAAACAGAGAAAAGATGTTTGATGTTGAGGCGTCAACTGACAACTTTTTTTTTGTCTGGACAAGAACTGGAGCACACTCTGAGAGCTTACATCATGGTAAAATTTTTACCTCTTAGAGACGCAGTTTCTATGTTTGAAAGTGAAAGCTTCTTTAGTCTCTTCTTGCCTCTTTTTGTACAGTAGATAGAGTTTATTCTTTGCACCACCTGATAGGAAGAAAATGCATTTTAACAAACTGAAAAAGATTTTCAAGCTGCCCCTTATGTACACATTTACCCTGGAACGTTATTAAGTTTTGCAAATAATATTTTAAGAGGCTGATGTGTCCAGATGGAAAATATATTGATTTTAGCTATCAATGAGCTCCTTAAAACCACTGGAAAGACACTGGAAAGGGAAAAACAGTGAAACTGAATCAGTCCTTCAGGGCATTTTTCTTGAGCGTGATATGTGAACTTCAGCAAAATAACAAAACACAAAAAAAAACATAGTCAATGCTTTTTGCTTTTCTTTTTAAACTTTCTCTTTATGGGCATTAAAATTGTGTTTGGTTCCCTACAAAAAAAAAACCAAAAAACATGAGCAGTGGAGAAAGTAGCTGTAAGGCTGATGGGTGTGTTGTAGTTCTGTTGAGCCAACTTTAACTCTTAAAGGTAGGTTAGGCAATTTTGGAGAAGCTAGCAATAGCTAGCAAGCTAGCTTTAAAAGCATGAGATCCCACCCTCCCTTCAGCCTCCTCCAAAACACATGAACACATACAGCGGAGTATGCAAAGTGGCCTTAAATTACCTCATATCTCAAAGCACATAACATTACAATCAGGGCCTGAAATTAACACCCGACCACCTGCCAAATGCGGGTGAATTTTGCTATTGGCGGGTAACACTGTCAATCTACCTGCCACATTGGCAGGTAGCCAATGAGAATTGTGAGTGATTCATAGGATTTTTACATTTCAACGAAGTCCGCTCTTGCGTTTGACTTTAGCTAAAATGTGGCGGCACATTACTGGGGTAAAGAGGCCAGCTGAAACAAAACAGCCAACAAAAAGATGAGGATGAGAAAAAGAAAAGTAAAGAAGACATTTTAATACAAAGTGAACAATCGGCGGCAATGGCAAGGTTCGTGAGCGGCTGATTTATGACAGCGACTGTTGTTTCGTAACGTTCATGCGATCAGAAAGAAGATGAGGCTCTTTTTCTGACTACGTGTGCGAGTATTAAACTGTTGGTGAGATGGGATGAGATAATGTAACGCGTCGCTGTTGTAGGTTAAAGTACAATGACAGTTGCACAGATGTGTGTGCGTGTGCAATGTGCATGTTGGGAGTTGGGAACCGGTGAGAAAATGTCCGGTACCCGGTAATTTTATCAGTAATAACAGTATCAATTTAGTTCATATTTAACCGTTCCTGAATGCTGTAACTAAAAGCTGTTAAGAGTAAGACCTACGTGACTAAATCCGCCATCAACACAGCCGCGTGTGATTTGTTTACGAGCTGCGGTAGGTCTATCTGTTGAGTATATATTATAGCCTATACTATATATGTTGTGTGTGTGTGTGTGTCTGTCAAAATCAAGGAATAAAAAGATTTTTTTTTTTTAAATGTATGTTATTAGAGTTATTATTACTTGACAGCACTTAAATGTGTATTCTTACAAGTTAAAGAACAATATTGTGAAATTCCTGTTTTTTTTTGTTTTTTTTTGTTTACGTTTATGAGGCACAAAAAAAAAATGGCTGGTAAAAAGTCTCTTTGGCAGGTGAATTTTTAAATCCACCTGCCACAGTGGCCGGTGGCCGAAAAAATTAACTTCAGGCCCTGATTACAATAATAATGAATGCAAACAAATTTCAAAATTACCACCTGACTGCTGCAGACATAGAAATACATAAATGAAATAGTCTATTCATTTGAGTTTTTTGCTAGTACCAGCAGTATAATAGTAACACTAATGGCGCTTTTCCATTACCAGTACCAGCTCGACTGGACTCGAATCGACTAGGCTCGCCTTGGTTCGCGTTTCGCTCTGTTTTCCATTGCAGAAAATACCACCACAAATAGTACCCGGTCGTCATAGCGACGCCTTTCGTTCCTCGCACTTTAATTGAATGTCATGTAGTCTTTTTTGTGAACCGTGAACAAGCGAAAGTTGTTAAATCATTAATATATTAACTTAAAATCTCAGTTACTTCAAGTAAATATTGTACAGTATGTCAAAGGGGTTTGGCTGACAAAATAAATTTGGGAATCTCTGCCTTAGGGAAAGCATAATGAATTATGATTCAAATCATTTCACATTTCATTTCGCACATTTCACTCCATTCTACACTCATTGTTTACCTTGGGGACTCGTTTCAGCCTGTGGGAGGCCAAGGTATCAGTGGTGGGGTTCAGGCTGTCATCTAATAGGCCACAGGGGGAGGAAGGCATGCCCAGCTGAGGCAGCAGCAGCATGTCATCATGGCTGTGCCTCTTAGACAAGCGGGATGGGCGCTGGCTCTTCCTGTCAGCAGGAACTGGCAGCCGCAGAGACTGACTACTAGGTTTAGAGGGCAGCTGGTGAGAGGGAAGTTGATAAGAAATGAAACGTGTAGATTAACTAAAAGGAACAGATAGATAGAGTAAATTCGATATTTGTACACTGCATAAAATTCAGTACATTATGTTGCAGCATATTATTACTAAAATGACTAATAATATGGTGAATTAATGCATTAATAATACAGAGCATTGATTTTAAATAAAAATCATATTGAAAAGCAGGTGCTATCATCAATATCTTACACAGCCAAGGAAACTACCTGGGGAGATGTAATGGACTTCCTGTCCTGGGAGGTCCATAGTCTGTTGAGTGAGTCCCGAGACCTCTCGGGTAACAGGCGGGAATTTCTGGCCAGACATCTCCTCAATGGATCAACATCCTCATATGGATTCTCTTTCTCTGTTTTTAGAAGAGCAGAGGAGAGAGAGAGAGCACGACTCAGACTAAAACCAAACACCAGCTGCCCAAGAGCCAACTTAAAAAGTAGTGAGGTAACATGTCTTCTTAAGGAGTGAGTGGGAAAGAGGCAAACTGATAGGGAAAGGGTGGGCAGAGGTTATGGAAAGCAGTGGAAGATGATAATGAAAAGGAGCCGCCGGAGGCACCTAACGGGGCAGCTATTAAGTGGTGGGAAAGGATTATTCATGGAGGTTTACTGTTGCCGTGCTTGAAACTCAAGTGCATTGTCTCCAAAAACAGTTTCTGTTGGACATAAGCCTTTGGACAGCACTCTGTCTCCTGAAATTAGGGCCAGAGATGAGTCAAGATAAGAGAATGCAGACAGTCCAGAACCCTAGTCTGACTCCATAACAACAAAAAACATTATAAATATTTTGAATCCAGCTTCTTTGACCAAGGGTGTTGAGGATGATTTCTCATTTTACTAACATGTTTTCTCATGTAAAAGGGTGGATCACTTGCTCACCTAATGATATAAATAAAATGTTGCTTTCCCCTTCAAGAACCTTAGCCAGACTGATAGGCGGCAAGAAGCAAGGACAGGGTGACCTGAATAGGGTCTGCAAGAGGTTTCAACTCTAACGTGGAAGCATACCATTATTACATATACTGTACATACACTATCAATGTTGAAAACACTTGTGATGTTTAATATGTTTGTGGAAACCATGATACATTCCAGGATTTTTTGATGAATGGAAAGAACAGCATTTGAAATAGAAATATTTTGTAATATTGTAAATGTCTTTAACTTTTGATCAACCTAATGCATCCTTGCTGAATAAATCATTCATCTCTTATATATATATATATATATAGTAGCAAAAAAATGTATTAATATATATATACAGTGGTATGAATAAGTTTTGGCACCCATGCTAAAGTTGCCTAAAAAGAGGAATAAAAAAATCATCTTTTGGATATTGATCTTAATGCCTTAATTAGAAAAATGAGGAAAACTCCAACCTTTAAGGACACAAATTTTCTTTGTGAATGAATAATGTATCATAAATAAATAAATGTTTTTCCTTAAAATACAGGGTGCATAAGTCAGGGCACCCCTATGTTAAATTCCCATAGAGTCAGGCAGATTTTTATTTTTAAAAGCCAGTTATTTCATGGATCCAGGATAATATGCATCCTGATAAAGTTCCCTTGGCCTTTGGAATTAAAATATCCCCACATCATCACACCTTCCACCACACCATAGAGATTGGCATGGTTTTACTTCAGTTAGCCTAATAGCTGGTTTGATTTGCATTGAAAGATGATCTTATGGAAAGTACCCCATGCCAATCTCTAGGTGTGGTGGAAGGTGTGTGATGATGTGGAGATATTTTAATTCCAAAGGCCAAGGGAACTTTATCAGGATGCATATTATCCTGGATCCATGAAATAACTGGCTTTTAAAAATAAAAATCTGCCTGACTCTATGGGAATTTAACATAGGGGTGCCCTGACTTATGCACCCTGTATTTTAAGGAAAAACATTTATTTATTTATGATACATTATTCATTCACAAAGAAAATTTGTGTCCTTAAAGGTTGGAGTTTTCCTCATTTTTCTAATTAAGACATTAAGATCAATATCCAAAAGATGATTTTTTTTATTCCTCTTTTTAGGCAACTTTAGCATGGGTGCCAAAACTTATTCATACCACTGTATATATATATATATATATATATATATATATATATTAGGGCTGTCAGTTAAACGTGTTATTAACAGCATTCATGCAAAACCATTTTACCAACGTCAATTTTTGGCAGGACAAAAATTGAAAAAAACAATTCAACAGGACGTGGCATGCGCGACGCGGCGCTGCGCTATGAAACTCATTCATTTAAATGGCTTGTGCCATGCGGGGACGTTTTTTTTTTTTTTTTTTCTTGCTTCGTCGACCCAAGCGCAAGCTGAATATGATGTAATAGGAGTTGTGCACATCCCAAACAAAACATTGCCTTTTTCAATTTGTATCTGTTTTTCTTTTTGTAACACATTGATTTAACATCTTTCTACCTGTTTCCCTCCACTAGATCCACAAAAGGGGCCATTTAACACTAACATCCTAACCTAGAACATCTGTGTCATAATCATGCTGATTTCAGTTAGAAACCTGCTCTTGGTAGAGTATAACTTAAGTCTAAGATAGGACGTTTCTGTAATACAGCTCCAGGTGCTCTACAGAAGATAGCCATCAGATCTGTTCAGTTCATCTAGGATTTTGGAGAAGAAAACATTATCCCTTCTGCAACCATTTTTGTAATATGCTGTACATATTAACAACACTTTCGCAAGAAAGAAAATGCATGACATGTCAGAAGTGCTAGTGCTACTAAGTGAACTTGAGCATAATAATCATAGTGCAACTTCGTGTGAATAGCTTGAGAGAGGGCAAATAACTAGCACACAAACAACAAACTACAGCCTGACCTCATGAGATGTACTGCTGAGATTTGCCCTAGTGCCATTATGGCTGAGAGGCACAATGACAGGCCAGATATTGCCCAGAGTGCTCTGAGAGTCTCTCAAACAAAGTAATGTAATGACAGCATGCTGGAGAAATGATATGCCTTCCTGACCACTCACATACAGGAGGGTACTAATCATTCTCCACAAAACACAGACAAAAGGAGAGAGAAAGCGGGCACCCCTAACCAAAACACACTGCCTCTGTTTACACAATAGGATTTTCAAAGGAGAGGACGTTGAGTGCTTGAGTTACTGAGCAGTACACAATGTCAGTATCAGACTACCAATAAAAGCAACAGACGCAACCATTTTATGACCATTTTGCGGTCTTCCGAAGAACACCATGCAGTCATGTGAAATGAGGAATGACCATCACATGAAATGGTTTTGTGGCGTGTAAACAAGCAGAAAAAATCCAAAAAATAGGAATCAAAGATAGTCTATTCAAAAACGATCACACACAGCAATATGACTCCTTATAAGACCCTCAGTAAAGGCTAGGGGTGTAACGGTACACTACACAAACATGACGGTTCGCTACGCACATAGGTACTGAAGTCAGGGTTCGGTACAGCGGGGTGTGTGGGTTGCTTTTTCTTGCTTTTTTTATGAAACAGTTTTTTTAAACAAACGTGTATGTTTAAATTAGGGCTGCACAAATAATCGCAATGATACCTCATGCAATTTGGCGAAGTCTAAGATTATTTAATGCTCAGCTTGTCAGTACACGCGGAATCACTCGAACGTTAATGGCGTAGACATACACGCATACACGTGGATACACGCGGATATCTCAAAATGCGTAGAGATAACACGCCACATGACTTGATATTTATTGCGTGTATGTTTACGCAAAAGTCATGATGTCATGTTGGCACGGCTGATCGGTAGTAAATGCTGCTCCATCTGAACGCCAGGGGGCGCTTTCTTGCGCTTTTTTGACAAATATGCCCCGTCGCAGAAGATAACAGACATCATTCCAGGAAATCCCTATCGGGCATCATACTATAGAATAAACAGAAGATTAAAACGCTTTGATTGATTAAACATGACTAATAAAACACACTACTGCCTTATTCTGTGTAAGAAGCCACATGAAGTGAGTTTGGAGTGAAAGCATGTTATTAAATGTTGTTTTTTCTTGGACAAGATGTTCAAAAATGCTTCATGACGCGTGTTGCTTTTTAACAATGCTTTCAGATGGAGCAGCGTTTACAGAGCCGTACATTAATGATATCAAAAAAATATATAACGTATAAAAAAACTAATCGTAGCCTTCGCCATTTTAAAATCGCGATAAGCCATCCTGATTCATTTAAGTATATGTAAATTGCGATTAATCGTGCAGAGATAAATAAATTATATTATAATTAAACATTTCTTAAGGATAAAAAAGCTCATCTTAGCTAATGTTGTAAACTATACGGGGAGGCCTTAATTAAACATTTCTATAATATTAAAGGGTTAGTTCACCCAAAAATGAAAATTAAGTCATTAATTACTCACCCCCATACTGTTCCAACCCCGTAAGACCTTCGTTCATCTTCGGAACACAAATAAAGATATTTTTGATTGAATCTGAGAGCTGGATCAGTCCTACATAGACTGCCTAAGGGACTGGCTCTTGATGGCCCATAAAGTCATTAAAGAAAAGGTTTAAATATTCCATGTGCCTACAGCAGCTCAATTATAAGTTTATCAAGCGACGAGACTACTTTTTGTGCGAAAAAAAACATAAATAACGACTTAATTCGACTATTCCAATACTTCCTTACGGGCGCATGCGCGAGAACTGAGACGAGGACGTTCTCATTCGTCTACTTTTTGTTACCGGCTGCTCACCGCTTAGGAGTTTTACCGCCACCTACCATATAAAATGAATGATGATCCATATATAAGGCGCTCCGGATTATAAGGAACACTGTCGTTTTTTGAGAAGATTAAAGGCTTTTAAGTGCACCTTATAGTGCGAAAAATACGCAAATTGAAAAGCGTATGTACAGCGCGCATCTTCCTCTGCTTGTAAACAGAAAGTTTTGCGCTTCCAGCTATATCAGCACATCATCTTATACGGTAGGGGGCGGTAAAACTCCTAAGCGGTGAGCAGACGGTAACAAGAAGTAGACGAATGAGAACGTCCTCGTCTCAGTTCTCGCGCATGCGCCCATAAGGAAGTAATGGAATAGTGGAATAAAGTCGTTATTTATGTTTTTTTTCGCACAAAAAGTAGTCTCGTCGCTTGATAAACTTATAATTGAGCCGCTGTAGGCACATGGAATATTTAAACCTTTTCTTTAATGACTTTATGGGCCGTCAAGAGGCAGTCCCTTAGGCAGTCTATGTAGGACTGATCTAGCTCTCAGATTCAATCAAAAATATCTTTATTTGTGTTCCGAAGATGAACGAAGGTCTTACGGGGTTGGTACAGCATGGGGGTGAGTAATTAATGACTTAATTTTCATTTTTGGGTGAACTAACCGTTTAAAGGTTACAATTAACAACAGAGCCTAAATTATTAAATTGAGTTGCTATTTATTTTTTAGATATAATGATTAACACTCAAATAAAAAAAAACATGTACTGTAAATCGTACATAAGGCAGGTTTAGCAATAACTTCTAAATCGAATTATAAAGTAAATATTCTACTCCAATTGACTTTTGAAATATTATCATTTACACAGTGGCTGTCATAACTTGTTTTCATGACAAGTGAAAAGTAAATATAATGAATAGTTACTCTCGAGCGAACTAACCTGCTGTTGACACTAAATGCCTGAGGTAAATGTAATGATACGTGAGATATTCGAATGAATGATCCAGCTCTCAAATGTAATCAAAAATATCTTAATTTGTATTCCGAAGATGAACGAAAGTCTTATGGGGTTGGAACAACATGAGAGTGAGTAATTACTTTCAGAATTTTCATTTTTGGGTAAACTATCCCTTTAAGGACTATTGGAAGAAAGTAGCCTTTGTTGGGGACTGTATATCATTGTGGCATAAATATGTTTCCTTACAAGAGATTTATCTCTTTGTAAATGTAATATGACCCAGCCATCTGGAGATATTTGGCCAATCCATTATCACTATACTAATGTGCATTGCATATGGGGGATATGTCATAACTGCCACCAGACCAGACAGGCTCTGTGCCAAAACCCCCAAAAGTTAAACCTAAAAGGAACCTTGCAGGCTAACATATATACCATGAATACTGTTTACGTTTTAAACGTTGTGATATTTTTGTAGGAAACAGGACAGAAACCTTGGGTTATTTAGTGACAGCCTGAGAAAACAGACTGATGTGCTAACCACAGCCCAGTGCTTCTGGAGACCACCCTTAGATGCCTCTGTCAGACTCTGTTACACCAATCCCCAGTTCAGTGGTTAGAGCTGGAACTAATCAGCATTCGTAAAAAATGTGCAGCCGCAATGCTTCATCCCACACCCGAGGTGTTCGCTGGAACAATGGAACCGTTGTCATGGGGAAAAGGCTGAGAGTCACCCACAGAAACTGATGCACCACCACTGATGCACCCAGTCGCTATCATCATTTCAAGAACAACATGCAGCAAAGGCGGTATTACTGGCTGTAGAACTAACAATATGACATATAAACGTCAAGCCTACCAAACTCTGACTTCTTCAATTCATTTGCCAACTGGAGACTTATTTAACCAGACTTCTTCTTTACAGGACCTGATGCCCTAGCCTCATCAGCAATAGCAAGACAGAGATTTACAGTCTGGCCACAGGGCAAGACCCATGAACGTTGTAACAATGTCAACCCCCTCAGGGTCTGAGCATTAGTGCACACAGACTATTTCCTGCCAGGAAGGAATTTAGCACATAAAATCAGCCAGCGCCACATGCCAGTACTTCATCACCTTCAGTAGACAAAAAAGGGAATTTAACCAGGGCTTATGTGAAGAGTGCAAAATCAGCAAAAAAAAACAATGGTTTTTAATTGAAAATATAAAAGGATAGATATGAAAGGGAACAAAATATATACATTATGTAAAAACATAATTTATACATTATATAAACAAATACATTATTATATAAATAAATTGTTTTGTTATTTCTTGTAATTAGACATGTTCTAGTTATTATATAAATTATTTGAAATATATGAAATTTAAATAATATAAACAAATATTTGATTAATTATTAATATCTTTAATATATACAGTATATATATATAAACACATACAGTGTTTATATAAAATACGTTAAATATTTTAATTAAAAATAAAACTATAAATATAAAAGAAATATTTTTATGCCATTCAAGGATGTGATTGTGCAAGTGAAAAAAAAGCAGGACATTTTTTTTAAGAGTCAGCGTAAAGCACTTTTTAGCTTTTAAACACCTGAATCAGCCATTTACTGCATGAACTACCAGGAACTGTCAATAGCACCTCATTGCAGTACACAAGATCCAGGGGGCGGAGCTGGATCCAGTTCTAAGGGATGGAGATGGGTAGGATTAGGGGTGGGGTTAGGGATCATGGGGCGGAACTGTGACACATATGAAAATATATTTAACAGCTATAATTTATTTCTAGTAATACAAAACAGGACGTCTTAACTTATCTTTGGGGAAAATGTAAGGGTGTTTCAGCGATGACCTTTCTTATAGGTCCTCACGCTCATAAACTCAACGGAAACGTGCGATTGGTTTAAATGCTCAACGCTGCAAAGCGAAATCTGATGGAAATGTCGTAGTCAGATGGATCGAATAAACGTTAAGTATTGTAGTTTGTTAAACTAATATTATCATCTAAACATATTCTATTATATAAATATTTTGAAATAAATTACAATGACTTTCCCAAAAATTCCAAACACCCCCCATCACCCATGATTTTATTTTTATTACTGATCAGCATGATTCACGTGGGTCATTATTTTAGGCTGAAATGACCAGAATTCCGAATTAATCCACAAAAATCACATCCCTGACCATTATAAAATTAAATATCTCTAAATAATAAAAAGTCTTCCGAAGCCATTTTCATATTCATCAGTAGCTGTGTTTACATGGACCCTGATTGTAATCGGACAACTAGCACAGTCGGAATAAAAAAGTCACATGTAACCAAGTCAATTGGAATGAATTGCCATGGCCAATTGGAAAAGGCCATGGCCAATTCCACTTAAAATTTCATTCGAATTATATGGGGCGGTTTAACTTTTGCAAACCGATTGAGAGACATGTAAACTTCTCCCTAGTCCTTGTTACAGACTCTCATTCACAGACGGGTGCGGGAAGGGACATTTTTACTGCTTTATAAATATAAGCTGCATGGCACAACTGTTCATGTGCTTGTCATCTCCTAATTAGGACCCGAAATCAAAGAAAAGAAGCAATTTAGGAGAATTGCGCAAACAGCAGGAAATTGTAAATTTGTAAATTGTAAAAAAAAAAAAAAAAATACAATTCCGATTCAAAGCTTGTGAAGTAAACACTACCATCGGATTCATTCAATGAATTCATCCCAAATGAACAAAAGGTGTCCTCCTTGTAACCGTAGCTTGTTAAAACTTTAGCACACAATCAAAAGGGAGTAAGTAGCATCTATCGCCAACTGTTGGCGGTTCTTACCCACTATGTCCTCGTATGCATTCTCCTCGAGTGTGCTCTTGGAGCTGATCCGACTGTGGTTCTCTGTGCCATTCTCTGTGGGTAAGGAGGGGTATGAGGAAGGCACACTGACAGCATCTTCTGACTCACACGATTCTCTGGAAACAAACAGAGATAAAGAAATAAATAAATCACAGCTTTGGATATAACTTTTGATGAACCATACTAGTTCTGTTGGCTTGGCTTAAGGCAAACATCTTCCATTTGGATGATCACATTCAGGCCAGACCACCTGAGAAGAGGAAAGCATCTTTCACTTATGAAGATCTTAAATGTTTCCAATCGCTCAACAGTTTTTCTGGAAGACACCAATTAAAATGATAAGCAACAAGAGAGGATTGAACAACATGCTTGAATAAACATGACTTATAAAGTTCCCGCCTCTGATCGGATAGTATTTATTGTTTATGTAAAAGAAGCCAAAACGTATTTGCATGAAAATATACACACAATAACATGGTTGGAAAGCTAACGAAAAGTTGCAACCCCAAATTAGCAGTTTGACATGACACAATCAAATTGCTTGCCTTTGGCCTCTAAACAGATGACTCTGGACCAGCCACAGGAATGTCAAACATGGACTCAATTGTAGAGCAGTAGAAATGCTCCTGTACATGAGGTTCCCATTCAGTCAGTCACGTTCAACGTTATGTTGGACTGCCTCATGGGGTCTTACCTGGGAGCCCAAAACTAGGGGTCAACCGATTATTGCCGATATTAAGCATTCATGGTTATTGGTATTGGCCATTTTCAAAACTGATTTTCAGATAAAATAATTTCATTTTGAAATGCGTTATATTTGATGAATATACTTTACTTTTTGATGAATTAATAAAAAGCAGGTAAGTACAAATCAAATCTAATTTCAAACTGCAAAAAGACTATTTAAATATGAATCCTGCGTGTCTCTAAATTAATGCCTCTAACGCGTGATTTCATTTACCAGACAGACAGACACACACACACACACACACACACATAGGAGCACGAGTGACACTTGCGCTGTTTTCAGCCACAGCCGCATCAGGACATGATTGCATAAACATCATCTCCAGAGTCACTTAATCACTTCAAGAGCTTTTTAATGCTTAAACTGAGAAAAGCTATCGTCATACAATAAACACAGAAACTCAAAGATCTCCACAGCAAACCGTCAAAAAATAAAAGTTTGGTTTTTCATAGGGCCCTAAAAATTTTATTTTTGTTAAACTGTAAATAATTCAAAGTTTGATGATTTCAATTAATTAGAAATGCTTTTCAGCTTCAGAATCATACATTTACACGTACAGTTATCGTTACACCTCTAATTTCTAATGTAACCCCAATTCCCTGAAGGAGGGAATGGAGATGATAAACACCCCCTGCCACAGCCCTGAAGCACCGCTGAATGGCCAGGATCCCTGTCTCGGCTCCTCAGCAAAACATGAATGAAGTGAGTAATGCCACTCATATTAAAACCCGTACGGATAGGTGTGACTCGGCATGCATATCTCACTGGTCAATGTCCATTCATTGGCTCATTTCTAACCAGTTGGAGGTGATTGGGCTCCTAGGCGAGACCCCATGACGTCAGTCCGACGTAACGCCTCCATTCCCTCCTTCAGGGAATGAGGGTTAAAGTAACCTAGACGTTCTCCATCACGAGAACCTGGCAGCTCTCCATACCCAGTAACTGGGCTAAACAATCCTTGTGCCAAAGATCATTCACAAGGCCATGAGGAATATGAGCTATAAACAACATGAGAGCCCTCAAAAAAGCAGCACCATGAAACAGTGTTAGAACAACTTAACAAGAGGAGATGAAGCAACGTCTCTGAGGTCTTTGAACCTCCAAAAACATTTAAATCTTCTGTATTTTACTAGTGGGTTTTTAAAAATGAACTCAAAAGTGTTTTATGGAACTGTTGAAGTTATTGCTCATGCTATTTTTGGACTTCTGAACTAAATTTGGAAACATTAAGAAGCATTTACTATTTCAGCAGTATCAGTTGGAATCTAAATGTGAAGATAAAAGAAGTGAAAAAGATGATGTGTGCCATTCACAGAACAATTGTGTAACATTTGAAAAAGCAACAAATTCACCTAATATGGTAAAATTATGAAACCCTGAGAAAACTAGCATCTCCAAGTTGATCTCTGCTTGCCATCAAATGCCTGACAGGCCATTTCATTTTGCTTACTTGATTTGTAACATAAGAATCTGTGAAACTGTAGAGGCCAATTCACTGTGAGAGACTATGAAGTCAGAAACAAAAGCCAATAATTCAAAGTCCAGAGCTATATCAACAAAACAAATGCTTGGCCTGTGGTCCTTATCCTTTTCAAAATTCTTGGGACAAGTTTTATACACTTCATTATCCAAGAAAAATAAATGATCTCTTGTTTGTGGGGGAACCGACTAAGTGGAAGTACACAAATTCAGTGCTTCTCACTCAGTCATTTTCTGACATGTTACATTCTTTCTCCAACACAACTCTTTCTGTCTAGTCTTTAGTTTTGACTTATTGGAGGTTTATATCTAGATATTAGACACTTTTAAATATGAAAAATCTCTATAAAACAGTACTATGACATGTACTACAACAACATGGAGCAATGTACTGTAGACAACCAAAAAGTTGCACCAATGAAAAAGCTATGCCTGGTGTTTTAAATAATACTTCACCTAAAAATGAAAATTCTCTCATTATTTACTCAGCAAGCATTTCCAAACCTTTCATTGCCTAAGTGATATTGACTTTATTTCTGTAACAATTCCTCGATTTAAATCAAGTACTCGATTTAAAAAAAAAAAAAAAAACTCAATTGCAATTTACCCGTGTCGAGTAACCGGCAAAATACCAGAAGTGGCGTGAACCACATTATTATGATTATTATACCGTTTTCTAAAGCTACGAGATATATTTAAAACCATTTACAATAGTGTTGTTAGTGCTCGTGCATAATAGTATTGTGAAATCACAAGGCTGTGATTAAGTTAAATAGCTCAAGGCTTTAATTATTTACATGTGTGCAGATTACATGTTAAAATTACCTCAGCACCGTTTACGGTAAACGGTGCTCCACACAAACTCAGTCTCTGCATGTGCTGTTTGTTTAGGTGTCCAATAACGTGCATTTGGGAAAGCAAAAAGTCGGATGCAGTTGGTGGTTTTCATTTATAAGCGTGGAGCGTCTCGGATATCTCCATCTCTGCATGCTTTAAGTTTGGGTTTCTAACGCTTTGAGTTTAGGTTGCTAACGTTTGGGTTGCTAACGATTTGTAACATAGCTCATTTGTTAATCTACTCCAGCTATCGGCTGGCTAATCAGCTATTTTCTATCGCACCCAGACAGCAATAGTGTCGGCCCAGATACGACCCACATCTGGGCCATTTTGAATCTACATGTACCAGATGTGACCCGGATCTGGGCTGACATTATGTGGCTGTCTGGGATAGAAGTGAGTGACCAAATATTAAAGCTGCCGTCGGCAACATTTTTTTGATCATATTCAGTGAAATCGACACTATAATCAGACAGAACAACATAAATAAAGCGGTTTTAGAAAAAAAACGAGCTTCTAACTCCATCTGGAGCGTGTTATTTGTTTTGCAAAAATCCAGCGCTCCCTGTTCACTGTGTCAAATCAGCGCATGGGGGTGTGAGATCTGACTCTCAATCACAGACCAGGCACACGCCACCCCTCGCGCACGTTACAATCAAATGCACACGCCTGAAGTTCGCGCAGTAAGGAAGAGGGATGGCGGAACACTAACAAACCAAGTAAGCTCATTAAGAGTATAAATGACGTTAGCAATTGCAATATATTGGTAGATTAGCCAGGGCAGCATACCTCCAAATAATCCATGGTGTTGATGAATGCTGATGAGACGGTCGCGTTCACAGAAAACCTGGTGCGCACGCACTCGAGCACGAACTCTGTGGGAGGGTATTCGTTGATAGTGGGGGAGGGCCATATGAGTTGTAATTGTAAACATAGTTGCCGACGGCAGCTTTAAAGGTTAAGTGGACATTTGAATTACATTGCTTGCAGACAGATCGATAGATAGAACAATAGAACTTAATTTTTCCCAGAATGCATCTTTCTGTCAATCCAATTCAACTTCCTGTGCGATGTGGCCAATTCCATTCAAATTTACACTCAAGAATTAAAGGTGCAGTGTGTGATTTTTAGCGACATCTAGCAGTTCGGTTGCGAGTTGCACTAAGGGCTCAGCCCATTACTCACCCCTCCCTTTCGAAGAAGCTACAGTGGCTAAAACAGGACAAACATATTGTCGTCTGAGACAGCAGAGAATAGCCAGAGTATGCCAAGAGTGTGTAACATTGTCACTGTTTCTGTACCACAGTCCATTATAAACCACATCATGGATAAAGTTTACAAAGCCATAGTCAAGTGAGGATCAAGGGTCTTAATATATAATATAAAAATAGTAATCAGCTGATTGTCTCACAAACATAACCAGCACATTTCTCCCCACATAGCAATACAGCAAGGGAGAAGAACCACGTGAAACTATGCAACGATATATTTTTTCTAACAGGGTAGTAAAAGCTGGCTAAAATGAGCTGTTACTGTGGCTAAGTTGGTTAAAGCGTAAAGCCTTGTTTAAAACTCGACGTGTCCACATGAGCCCAAAGGTGCAACAGCGCCCACGTCGTCGCATCCCCTAGACAGTGACGCCATTTATTTTCGCGGGAAAACAATGTAGGACAACAACAAACTGAAATATATGGTTGAAGACTTGGAATATAGCACATGGTGACTGTATGCTTGCACTGAATGGAAAATGTAAAGAAATTCAATATTCTCCTAAACTTTTGTCTAGGTTTAAGATACCTATTAAAGGGTAACTAAACCCCTGGCCAGAGCCTGACTCCACCCACTGGCAATATTTGGAAAATGCTGGAAAAGTGGGCAGAGCCCAGTGGAGGGGGGCGTGCACCTGAGACAGATCTCTAGATCTCTTTGTATGGAACTTGCCTACGTCACCAACAACCGCTGTGTCACGTACCACCGCAAACATCCAATAGGAAAATTGAACTGCAGTAGCCACCGTTCAACCTGAAGAGGGCAGCACTAAGACGTTTTTACACCATATATTGTAGAAATAGAACACTTTATAAACAAATGCCAAAAAAAGTTACTCGAATCAATGACTGGTATTAATAAAGATCCATTCTTACAGATCATTAACTAAAAAAAGTTAGTTTTAGTTACTCTTAGTACTCTTTAGTAAAAGTGTTTAGTTACTCTTTAAGCATCAAAGCTAGTAAACGTAAGGTTGTTCGTTTGATCCTCACAAGGAGCAAGTCCTGAGCCAACACTATTGTGCCCTTACGTTGTGTAACATACGTTGTCTATCTGTTACATGATTCTTTGGATAAATGAATCTGCTAAATAGCTACATACTACTATATGGACAGGCATGCCATTCATCCACTGTGGAAGATAATCATGTTTCTCACCTATCTTGAGTCTTCTTAGGCAAGCTTTCATCCGTCTTGGAATTTCTCATTATAGCAGGTGCTGGGGTGGAAGGAAGTGGAGGTGGAGATTCAGTGGTAGGAGGTAGTCCATTACCAGGCAACAAGCCTCGGTGATTCCGGTTGGCATCATACTCAAATGTTCGTTTGGGTTTGGGCAAAGGGTTCACTGTAATTCCTGAAGAGTCCTGTGCAGTAGGGAGTTCTGGGCTCTCCGATCTGGTAGAGCTGATGCTGAATCTCTGCTTGAGCTTAGAAAGTCTATCAGAGCCTGGAGAAGCTTCAGGTTCTGTGGCCACAGAACAGATGCTGCTCCGCTTGCTGCCACAAGTGCTGTCCAAGTCCTCGATCCCACTGATAGTGAAAGACTTCTGTCTGGACTTGTCAAGGCCGTAGCAATTGCTAAGATACTGTGGTGGGGACGAAGAGGGACTTTCCTTTAATACCTGTTCAATTTTTTTAATGCGGCTGAGCACGGCGGAGGTCTCCTTGCGTGCCGACAGCGTGCGGAGGAAAATCGCTGAGGACTCTGTCTTTGAAGGCCTTTTCTGGAACCTTACAGGAGCTTCTCGATCCGATACATGCTCATCTTCCTCAGTCTCAGGGTAAGAGCACTCAGAAAATGCTGTGCTCATCCTCCTCACACCCTTAAAGTCAAAGGTCTTCTCGCTGCAGGGTGAGGACAGCAGACTTGGGCAACCCTCACTCCCACCTCCAGGCCTCTTCTCCAGGCAAAGGCTCATCCTAGGCAGAGCCGCCTTCCGACCCTCCCATTCCGAGATCTTTTTGCGTATGGCGACGGAGGAGGGGTAGGTCCCAGTACAACTAAGTGAGAGTGTGCGCTTGTGCCCAAACTTGGTGGTAGGTCCTACTGAAAGAGTACTCCAGCTGAGGGGTCCAGTATTCAATCCATCCCCCACAGGGGGGGTCTGTTGTGGCTGGTTCTCCTTCTGATCCTGGTTATCGCTGCTTGATGGCTTATGGATGGCGAGCCTCTTGTCCAGACAGCTAATGCTCCTAGATTTGGTGAACCTGCTTTGACATTCAAAGTCAGTGGGGAGAGAGGCGCCACTTCTCAAGCTGGCAGTCTTACAGCTCCAGTTCTTTTGGGTCCAGAGTTTAGCATCAGCTTTAGCGTACCTTCCTGGCTGACTGGTGTCCTCACTGCCAGTGAGATGAGACGAACCTGGCTCTTTTCCAGTGGTAAGAATTGGAGGTAAGGACACAGACTGACACCTGAAACAAAAGTAAATCAGCAGAAAGATTAAGACATCCTAAAAAAAAAAGTATGCTTGGCACAGAAGAATGTTATATCCTCACAAACACTTACTATGAATAAGAACACAAAAAATACTAATTACTACAAAATATGTTATGATCAGAACACGTAACTACTATACTAATACTACAAGTAATGCAAAAGGAGAACTTTAAAAAGGATTTCAGATAAAAGGAAATGTTAGTTGTGTAATATGGGAAAGAACAAGAGCAACCTTCCACAAATTTGGCAGTATAGAGTCACTCACATCAAGCCAACGTAAACAGAATAACAAATCATTCCACACAATCATTTTGAAGAACATTTATATGGACCTCCCAAACAAAAAAAAACAATGAAACTATTAAACTTTAGGGATATAAATTAACTCACCCTCACTAACCCTCAGATTTTGTTTCTTAGACGTTTGTCTTCTGTAGCAACTGTTTGTTTCTCTTTGCCTACATGTCAACCTCAGCATCCTCATCATTCTCAGGCTGATTGTTCACTCAGCAATCAGACACTGCTCACTCCTGAGCAATGATATTAAATACCCTGTTGACCTCATTTCAGTCTGCTCAGACACACAAACACTTTCTCATCCACCTAAAAATCTAAAGCCGCTCATGAGCTTCCAGGAACTAGAAATCGACTTGACCCACACCTCAGTGAAATTGAGTCAGGCAGATCTGATGTCACAGCGGTGGTTAGAATAACAAGTTGAAGCTGGGAGGAAGCCAAGAGTATGATCCAGGGTGCAGGTTGGGACAGATCAACCAAAAACCACACACCATAACGCCATTCCCATGAAAAAGGGCAGAGAAACACCATGCCACCTGCAGTCTGCAGTCATTCCCCCACATTTACAGTACAATATACAGCACCACCAAATATTACAAGCAGACAAACTGTTGTTCCCAACTTTCAAAAAATCTAATTCATTTTACATACCAATCAAAGGTCAAAAGGTTCATTAACTTTAAAAAATCAAATTTACTTTATCAAAAATAAAACCACTATATTCTACATAACCAACTACAGTAGAGAAGGGCAAATATGATTAAAAAACAAGTATTTAAAATATAATATAAAAACAAATATACTACTGTTCAAAAGTTTGGGGTTAGTATGTTTTTTTTTTCAGAAAGCATGGCTTTAAACATAAAAAGCATGGTTTTCATGATATTATGGTATCTTCAGTTGTGTTAAATCATCTTTACTAGCATAATGAACTTGTATTTCAAAATCATGTACACAAAAGAGCTGATTCAGAGAGGTATTAAAGAAAAGGGCATAATACTTCCTCTGAAGATAAAGCTGTAGGCCTCTTTGCATGAAATGGTGAGAGGAAAATGTCATATTTGAGTCTGACTGTAATGTGTGTTAAAACAGATTCTTTAGGTTCAACCTTTACAATGGATACAATGGAGGAAAAAAAAATAGTCTTATCCTGGCTAGTCAAAAGGGGAGGGATGGACACGTCAAATCCGCCAAAAGGAAATGAGGGATATTGTTTAGGAGGACAATTTTTGCATCAAGGCTGGTGTTTACAGCACAATTAAAGTTATATAATCATTGATCAGATGTTTTCTGTAGAATAACACTGCATATCTAAATATGTCTCCATAACTGTCTGGACAAAGACTCCAAAAAAACATAAATTATTGTTTTCATAACTGCAGTATTAGGCTCATGTAAAATCCTTTGCTTGAAGAAAAGCATCAGTTTGAGAATGCTTTCATTGAATTCGCCATGAGTTTGTGTCTGTGGTCTGATGAGGTTCTCTGAGAGGCTGGACAAGGCCAGTAAAAACAAGGCCAGCTCTGGGGAAGCCAGCTGGTCTGGCCACACATGGACCTAGTGGGATGTCAGAGATGGTTTGGCTCTTTCTGGGTCTTGAGGGCAATGTCAACCACAGGCCATTTCCTGTTGGAAAGCTGTGCCAGGATGGTGAAACTGGAGGTTCCAGGAACACACTTCAAAAGAAATATGTCAAGCCCAGATCCAGTGGGTTCTCCCCCACAAAAATGTGGATATTTCATCTGTGATTGAGTTATTTTTTCAGCTATTATCTTTGCTATAAAAAGGGCATATTCTCAGTGCAAGGCCTACCTACCGCCACCCTCAACTGACATAAATCTGCTTCTTCAGCATTCTCCTACACTTGTGATTTAAAGCTGAAGCTGTATTATTCATGTCTGGGAAGAGAGGCTAGCAAAAACTATGCCATCATTTTCCCCACACACTTCTTCGCATAAATCACGATTTACTTTGATCAATATTTCTGACATAAGAGAGTGTTCAAATGTAATTATGAAAGTAACTCGCACTCTTCAAAGACGTTCTTCACTTGTTCTGACAGCCACTGCAAAGCTCCATATCGTTAAGCAAAGGCCACAAATAGAACAAAGACTCTTTTCTAATCAACTTCCTGGCTTTTACTCATAACCAGGATGTTTACTTTAGCTTTGTATACAACAGTTTGGCCTATGAAGCATCAATGAACTCATATGTCTATTTCAGCATCTCCTCAATTATGGATAAAAGTTTTGGTTATCATAAGCAGGCGTTTCCTATGAATATTTAGGCAAGATATGGAATGGACAAAATAGAATTTTTTTTCTAAATCTAAAAGCCAACTATATAGAGTTGTCAAATCTAGCACATGTAACTACGAGTATACAAAATAAAATCTTCTTTCCACGTAAATGTGAATTGCTACAAAAACAACGGTCCAGATTTGTTTCTGATACATTGATTTTAATTAAAACACGATCTTAGAGCTAATATATATATATATGTTCTAAATTAAACTAGTATTATTAAGCCCTGTTCACACAAAGAAAGGAATCTATAAAGATATCTAGATGGATTAGTCCACGCCAATGGATGATAGCATTCTCTCCGTTATAAGAGTGTACTGCAGTTATATAGCCTGTTGCTTTTAATGGTCAAGCTCTTTAAATGCATGTAGATTCTGATTGGCTGTCAATGTTTTTAATCAGCTGGAAAAAATGTATTCTGTAAGTGATTCCAACAATATTGTTCCCCTCTATGCTGTTATCATTAAAGTTGTGGTGTGGCCTTTGCTATTCTTATTAGAAGAATTCTTAAATCTTTATAGTTATATACTATATATATAGAGAGTAGGTAGGATTACATAGTATCCTAGCTGTGAAAGGGCCCAGCAAGCAATAGGCCTAGCTGTCATTTCACCTTCTCAGTTAACTATAGATCCGATATAGTCCGGCTATCTTCTAGCCAAAATAACCTTAAATTTGTTTACATGTTGTACTTGCCAAAATAACTTGCGAGATGTAAGATATTCCATCATGTAAGCAAACTCAACATTTACAAGGTGTTTGGTTAGACGTCTATTACTGTTTTACCACAACAGTCACAAACAATAGCTTTCTGTAAATAACTGAAAAAGCACAAAAAATGGATAAAAACTGCTGACTCATCATCATGACTCTCACCTGTCTGAGCTTTCCTGTGGATCTTTAGCCGCTCCTGCTCTCGGTGCAGTTTTGGAGCTCTTGTTGGCAGTCATTTCCCTCTGACAGCCCCCTCACCTGATTAAAAAAAAATACTTTCATTAGAAAGCTGTATCATGACCTTTAAAGTAGGCTAAATGTTTATTTCTGAACATTTCTGCACTGCGACCATAAACCAGCCGATCTCTCTCTACAAGGCAAGGCGAGATGTATTAAATGCAGATGACAAAGACTATTTCAATTTAATCTGAAAGATATTCGATGAACAAAAGACAGCGAACTGGCTATGCATAGTGGGAAACTATTCTTTCTAGTGACATGGCCCACAAGATTTGAAATTCTTGGCCCACAAAACTAACCCATGGATTAACCCTGACTGGCAAATATGAGTCAAAACACAACAAATATGGACCTTGAATCTTGATCTCTACAAAAGAGCAGCAATATTATCCCTGTCATGTAAATAAATCTCTGACCCACAAAAAAAACATACAGCCCCAGCAAGTTTCAAGAGAAGAGTGGGTTTGTGTTTTGAGATGCAGGTAATAAATCTTATTTAAGATACTGAGGTATAACATGTCATACCACATCATTCAGAGAAAGAAATACATTGCCAGCTTAAAAACAGATGTCTACATTCATTAAAAATCCTATTGCTAAGTATATTGTTGCTAAAGTAATCTAATTGATTTTTAGCACGTTGCTTTGCTATTACTATGGGTGGTTGGCTACAAGGGTATTTTTGGTCAATTGCTTACTAGCCCAAGTAAAAAAAAAAAAAAGAAGCCCAACCTGGCCTCTGCTTTAGCATATAGAAATTTCTGGCCCATTTTATTAACTGTCAGGTGAAAATCCTGAACTACAGTAGATCCCCAAGAAAAGTATAAAGCAAATATTGGTTTTAGGTTTTTAAGGGTTTTCTTTCCGACCCCCAGGTTTGAGCAATAATAATAGTAATTCTTGCCAAGCACTACTAATAATAGCATGAACTGATTTTTACAACCCCAGAATATGCAGTCTAAAGAATGGCAGCACCAAGACCTGAAGGTAATTACAGAGCCGGCTTACATGGCCTGTTAGTATAAGAGAGGTTCTAAAAAATCTGTTTGTAGAATCAGAGATCCATGCCAAGTGCCTTTAGTCTATGAAGCAATGTTTAGAGTGTGTTTGTATTAACGTCTGTTTGAATAGAGTAGCCAAGATTAACAAAGCTGAGCTAGTCTCTTGGCTCATTAAATAGTGATTGCTTTTTCCCATGAACATTTGCACCTTAGGACTAAAAAAAAACCTGTTTAATGACAGATATTAGTTTTACAAGCTGGGTCAGAGAGTTGTGGTTTTGGGAGCTTTGAGCACACTGGGACTCAGGTTGGTTGTTGAGAGAGGGAAGGAGGCTGGTTTTTCATTTTGTCAGGTGAAGCCATAACAAGACTTGAAAATCTTTAATGAGCAGTAAATCAGATTTAAAAGGCCATGCTTTGCACATCAAGTCCCTTGAATGATTTTGGATGAACAGATATTCTTCAATTGACTCTATCCCAAAAACTATTAAAAGGAATATTCTGGACTAAATACAAATTAAGCTCAACCGACAGAACTTGCAGCAGAATGTTGATTAGAAAAACTTCCTCAAGTTCTCCTCCTCTTCAAAAAAGGCAAAAATCTGGTTTACAGTGACTAAACATCATATCACTTTTGTAATAAGATATACATTTCATTTCTTGAACAAGATCATGTAGACATGTGAGGGTTTGAACTTTTATTTTGAAATCGTAATGAACAACAATTTGAATCTAGAAAAATATTCATGTATTCTCCTGTGTTGGCGTAGGTTTATAAATGATTTACGTTACAAATCTGGTGAAATGAAATGATGCACGTTGTGATCCCAGATGTTATAAACAACCTAACGCAGCAAAAATGACGAGATAGTGTTTTTTTTAAGCTGCTGAGATGTGCAACCATAATAAAATGTAATGATATACACGTAAAAGACCGCAATAACAGTGCAACACTTCGCTATGAAACACAAAGCGCGGCAGACTTCATAAGCGTTTCCAAATGCATGTTATTGGAAACCCAAATAAGCAGAACATGCAGAGATTGAGTTCGTGTGGAGCAGCATTTTTACTCTGAATGGACAAATAAAACGTGTAACCTGCATGCAAATAATTTAAGCATCGAGTCGAGCTTCGCTCGAAAACCTGCAGTCCATATATTAATTTAACTAGCTAAATCGCAGCGTTCGTGATTTCAAAATCCAAATGCTATATTATGTATAGCATATATGCTATTTTGTGCAGCCTTATAAAACAGTTTAATAATGCAATTCTCATCCGTGGAAAGCGAAACTTATTTTGCCTGTTTAGTTGATTGACACGGGTAAATTACAATCAATGATTTTTTTTTTTTTTAAATCTAGCACTGGAATTAAATAGAGGAATCAAGATCCCCCTAGTAATCTACAAATACTTAAAGTCGCAATCTAACGAAAGTATAGCAACAAATATTTTCTTCCATGTTCTAATACATTTATGAATAAAGTAATAAATTTAGATTGGTGTCTTTGATTCTATCCATTGTTGGTAATTGGATGGAGGCAAATCTAAATGCTTGCGGTCAATTGTAAGAAAGAGGCGGGGTTTAAAGTCTAAATGATTGAAGAACTCTGGCACCAGAGATAAGTCAGTTGTTTGACGCAGATGATCACGTTATGACATTTTGATTAAGAATTACACAGGGGGTGAATATCCATTTACTGCCAACTGTATTGAATCCAGAGTTTCCTTTTAACATAACTATGATCTCAGATGTTCTCCTCACCACAATCACAAGCTCTTCACCCCAACATGCACACAACCACTGCAAACTATCTTCACGCCAAGAGAAATCTTAACTAGCCACCCCTCACAACCACAGTGCCATGTGCATACCACTTGCCACTTCCTCCCATCAAATTAGAGGGCCTCATCAGAGACCGAAGTGGGAAGAAATGATCTTCCATGCTGAAGGAACACCTCCCGTCTTGGCATGTGTTCACTCGTACTGCTGTTTATGGTTTATAAGGAGGTCAATATTACAAGCACTCAAATACAGAGGGGGCTGGGTGTAACTGGGTGCACTGGGGGCTTGTTTACAGGAAGTTGTTGCATGTAGTAGTCGACCAACCAGCAGCAAAACTAAAAGCCCAACAGAGACAGATGAGAGGAGAGACAGCATTCCTTCTGTCAGCCATTTCCTGTTTCGGAGGACTGCAAAGAACATGCATTTTCATTTTCAATCTAACTGGAGGGCCCTCGAACCGCTCATAGAGTTTATTTTCAACCTTGATGAATTATTTATAATATCTTGATTTATTCTGCTATAATACCCCTCAACTGGCATTGTCAATGCCATCCAGTGATTTATCACTAAAGTAGCTTAGAAACTCAACAGTTATAGGATAGATTTTTTCTACTTTTGAAGTAACTATAACCCACAGCTTCACAAATAATAGACAGATTAATTCACACACGCAGTCACTCTCTCATTAATGTATTCAAATAAATGCACTCTCATTGTGCTAATTTATCTGTATCTGGTTTAGAAATAAAATATCCCACATTTTTAGTACAAACCTTGACAGTGAACTATAAGGGGGGGGGGGCAAAGCAAAAAATAATAATAATTAATAAATAATAAAAGATTTTGATTTTAGGTCATATTTCCAGCCCTAAATGTTGATTCCAGTGGCAATGATTTAACAAGGTTCATACAAATAAAATAAGCGATCTTGTTAAGCACCTAAGGCACTGAGTTAAAAAGTCTGATAGGATATCATTATGTCAGTAATAGTCAACTTTCCCACCAACAAAATCAGCTGCCCTAAGGTTACTTCGGACTTACTAGTGATAAGCGTAGAATATTTCCAGCTGAAAACTTCAAAAGGTTTACAAAAATCACTCTAGCAGCAAACAAAAGATAAAGTTATGACCAAACATATCTGAAAATGAAAATATTTTCTTTTCTATGACCTGGGAGGCAATTTTTTTCCAGAACCTATTTTTTTCCAACCAGACTGAATATTTTTACTGAGCTGTTGAAAGGTGAACAGCTGTAAAAATAAAGCATGCTGAACATGGAAATATTGTACACTATCGAAGCATCACTATCATTGAGACTGCAGAGCACTTTTTCTTACAAAAAGCACAATACAAAATTCAGTGCTTAAAATTACAACTAAAGATGCATTAGGGGATCTGGGAAATGCTCATTTTAGCCTGTTATCAATGACTGCGTTTACATGCAGCCAATAACCTGTTCAAAACCGGGATATTAGCAATAACCCGGTCCCGATCGGCCATGTAAACACCGGCAAAAACCCAAATATGCTCATATCCCGGATTTTAAAAACTGGGATATTGGGGTACCCCTTTTCTAACCCGAATTTTTGGTCATGTAAACGCGTATCGGCATATCCCCATAGTGATTTGTGTTCTGCGCATGTTCTATTTACAAGGAATCTTGGTCTTTTGAGTAGAGAAACTTCTCGGCGCATATCCATGTATACAGGAGAAACTCTCTCTGCTCAAGCATGTAAACGGGTTATTCCTAATGTTTCAGAAACCCGAATAGTGACCTTAACCCGACCATAACCGAAAATTGGCTGCATGTAAACGTAGTCATTGTTCACTGTCCAAAGCAAGGGGGTAATCCATCAGCCGGAAGTTGAAGCCTCGCAGGAGCCGCCATTGTAGCAGAACTTCACCTGCTGTTAGCATCCCATTGACTTCCATTCATTTTGGCCTCACTTTGACAGCGAATAACTTTATATCTGAGGCATCCAAAGACTTCATTTGTCCATTATTTATTTCTGAAGAAACAACAACAACAATGTAGAAAACGCTCCATTACTTTGTATCTTACGTTATGGCCCAGTAGATGCCGTTTTTGTGAAAAATAGGCTAATTGCATCATCACTACGCAACTTTCCTTCGCACAATAGAGACATTACCATATAGACCGGAGGAGAAGCTCGCAGGGAGAAGCCTATGGATAGAGAGTCCATAAAAGCAACGGGACAAAATATTTCAACAACG